GCCCCATGCATCTCCTGCATGTGCCTGTTTCTGAGTTGTATCCTTCATAACAAAGCTGTGATTATAAGTATAGCATTTTCCTGAGTTTCAGGAGTTTTTCTTGCAAATTACTGAACCTGAGGGAAGGTCATGATAACGCCCCAATTTGTAGTTGACCAGGCAGAAATGCAGGTACTTAGGACATCCCATTTGTGGCTGGTGTTGAAGGATTTAGCCCTTAACCTGTGGGGTCTATACTATCTCCAGGTAGTTTGTGTTAGAATGGAATTGAACTGTCGAACACTCAGTTGATATGAGAGCTTTGGAAAATTGGCTGTTGTTTGGAAAAGAAAACAGTCCTTCTTACGTCTTCCTATGAAATCATGTGTTTTAATTTTTCTACTTTTGTACTTGTTGAATGAGAAACTTTATAGTGATAAAAGGCTTATAATAAATTACAGTAATTATATTTTAAAGATTTATTTATTTATTTTAGGTGGGAGGGGCAGACTCCCCCATGAGCATGGATCCCAGTTCGGGGCTGGATACCACAACTCATGAGATCATGACCTGAGCAGAAACCAAGAATCAGATGCCCAATTGACTGAGCCACCCAGGTGTCCCTTCAGTAATGGTTTTAAACTAATGTGATTTTAATTATAGCTGCAGTGTATTTGGGAAACAGATAAAAAGGAGAGACATTGTTTAGTCTAAAACAATGCATGGGCGCACATAAATTTTTTTTATCTTTTCAGATGGGGGTATTGAACAGTGATGTCAAACTAAAAATATGACACATCTTTTTTTTTTTTTTTTTAAGATTATTTATTTATTTATTTGACAGAAAGAGACAGAACACAAGCAGGGGAAGTGGGAGAGGGAGAAGCAAGCTTCCTGCTAAGCAGGGAGCCTGATGTGGGACTTGATCCCAGGACCCTGGGATCCTGACCTGAGTGGAAGGCAGACACTTAACGACTGAGCTACCCAGGGGCCCCAAAATATGACACATCTTTATGAACCATGAATTTTACACCATGTTCAAAAAATTGGGAGAAAAGATGGAGTTTTATCTCTTATAGGCAGGGACGTAGTCTGTATCCTATACCTGACCAGTGACTGACATAGTAAAGGAGGAATGAAGTAATATGGTAAAACAAAAACAGAAAATGACTATAACAAAACATTCACAGAATTTAACAAAATACCCAAGACTTTAATGAATATCAGGATTTCTCCAGGCTGTTTTAAGTATTGTCATTGTAATAGGCTAAAACATGGTCCTTACCCCAAAATAAACAGGTCAAATCCCTGGAACTTGTGAATGTTACCTTGTTTGGAAAACTGACTCTTTGCAGATACAATTTAGTGAAAGACCTTGAGATGAGAGCATCCTGGATTATTCCAGTGTGGACTAAATCTCATCATCAGAGACACAGGAGAAGGCAAAGGGAAGATACGGGCAGAGAGTGAAGTGATGTGGCCGTAAGTCAGAGAAGCCAAGGAGCACCTGGGGCCACCAGAAGGTGGAAGAGGAAGAAAATGAATTCTCCTGTATTGTAGCCTCTAGAAGGAGACAGCCTTGCCAGATTTTGGATTTCTAGTTTGCAGAACTGTGAGGAAATAAATTTCTGTTCTTTCAAATCTGTGATAATTTGTTACAGCAGCTTTTGGATGCAAATATAATATTTGACCCCTGAGGGCTCACAGTCATGCTCTTTTTAGAAAAGTTTCTTTGGAAGGAGAATTTATAAAGGTTCCCAGGTGGCTAAGGTCCACAGGTTGGACCCAGTATAGAGGACCTCCCATAAGTGCCCTTTCAAGTGAAAAGATTTCTTAATTTATTGATCTTAGCAGTGTTTAAAAAAACAAAAACAAAAAACCCCCCACAGGTCCAAAATGGAGTCACTTGTGCTAAGCTGTTGTCACCAAACTGAGAATACTTAATACCTAACCTAATTGCAGTTTTAGCCTTTCCCAGGAATATACTATTAGTAGGTTAGTTGGGAATTTCCTACTTATTTATTTATTTAAAGATATTTATTTATTTATTTGACAGAGAGAGAGCACAAGCAGAGGGAGCAGCATGCAGAGGGAGGGGGGGTGGAAAGCAGGATTCCCACTGAGCAGGGAGCCCAACGTGGGACTCAATTCCAGGACCCTGGGATCATGGCCTGAGCTGAAGGCAGCCGCTTAATTGACTGAGCCACTCAGGTGTACCACTGGTTGGAAGTTTCCTGGTGAGAACCAGTGAGGTTATCTGCTTGATAGACCTTTTCTTCCCCAAAGACAGGTGATAATGCCTGAAATATTCCTTTCATTTCGTTATGACTTCCTATCCTACCTCACTGCCTTTTAAAGTCTTCCATTTTGTATAGCATCTTAGAGCTCCTTTCTGTTTGCTATATAAGATGCTGCCCAATTTATGAATCATTGAATAAAGCCAGTTAGTTTCAAATTTACTCAGCTGAATATTGTGTTTGTTTTTTTTTTAAAGATTTTATTTATTTATTTGACAGACAGAGATCCCAAGTAGGCAGAGCAGCAGGCAGAGAGAGAGGGGGAAGCAGGCTCCCTGCTGAGCAGAGAGCCCGATGTGGGGCTCGATCCCAGGACCCTGAGATCATGACCTGAGCCGAAGGCAGAGGCTTGACCCACTAAGCCACCCAAGCGCCCCTGAATTTTGTTTCAACAGTAGCTTTCAACCCTAGCCTAGAGATAAACCTGTTCTGAGGTTTAAAAAAAAAAAAAAAAGGTATGAGCTTTACTTGACAATTTAAGCAGTAAAAAACAAGTTGAAAGAATATCTAAAGATATGTTAATTCTTTTTTTTTTTTTAATAAAGATTTTATGCATTTGGGGCGCCTGGGTGGCTCAGTCATTAAGTGTCTGCCTTTGACTCAGGTCATGATCCCAGGGTCTTGGGATCAAGCCCCGCATCAGACTCCCTGCTCAGCGGAAGCCTGCTTCTCCCTCTCCTACTCCTCCTGCTTGTGTTCCCTCTCTCACTGTGTCTCTCTCTATCAAATAAATACACACAATCTTTAAAAAAAAAAAAGATTTTATGCACTTATTTGAGAGAGAGAGATAGGACAAGCAGGGGGAGCAGCAGGCAGAGGGAGAAGGAGAAGAAGCAGGCTCCCCACTGAGCAGAGAGTCTAACTTGTGGCTTGACCCCAGGACTCTGGGATCATGATCTGGCCGAAGCCAGAGGCCCAACTGGCTGAGTCACCCAGGCGCCCAAGATATGTTAATTCTTTTAATTGTTCAGTCATGAAAAAAAAAGTATAGAACTCATAAGACTGTATTTAATAATTTATTCTTTATCTACCTATACTGGCTATCCCCCCTTGTGTTCACACCATACATTTAAGAAAATAGCCAGCAGGCATACTTGTAAAAGCGCTATCATAGACCTCACAATCACGACCAAGAATCATCAGTTCTGCGGCTACCCAATCAATGAAGCACAAAGAAATTGAAGGTTATAAATACATTATGCTTAATTCAGACATAATACTTTTGTTTAAAGTACTTTCATTTGGGAATCCCTTTTCAAAATCTGTCCAGTGAATTCTGTACTTAACATAGGCTGTACTATATGGAAATTAAATTGTGACATGAGTGTTTCACTTCATAGTGGCCTCTATTTTGTAAGACAGTTTACAACAATAAGGTAAAATTTTACTTCGAAACAAAAATAGGGGCCCCTGGGTGGCTCAGAGGGTTAAGCCTCTGCCTTCGGGTCAGGTCATGATCTCAGGGTCCTGGGGTCGAGTCTTGCATTGGGCTCTCTGCTCAGCGGTAAGTCTGCTTCTCCCTCTCTCTCTGCCTGCCTCTCTGTCTACTTGTGATCTCTGTCAGATAAATAAATAAATAAAATCTTAAAAAAAAAATCCCACAGTAAATTTCCTAAATAGCTATCTTTGATTCAAAACAAAACTAAACCCTACAACACTACAGATTACATATCTTAAATTTTTAATTTTGGATTTATGAAGAGTGACTTCACACCTTTTGGGGTATTTGTTTTTGTAACTAACTTTCATCCGTTTATGAAGTAATGAAACAACTCACTTGAAAATAGGGGGAAAAAAACCCCATCAGAAACAAGACGTTCTAATTTTGTAACCTGGTAACGCGAATCTTAAATTTAGCTAGTTGAATATGAAGGATCAAAAAAGGTCTGGATTGTTCTAATAATTGTTTAGAATTTTAAAAATACCATATTTGCCCTCTGACCTTAACAATTAGATTTCAATGTCTTCAGTAAATAAAGACCTACCCCCCCTTCTTATATAGTGACGCACAAAGCCCTGTCATTACCACGAGTGCCACAATGTTGTCCTTAGCACTCAGCTATTTTCACAGCCATGGCAAAACTCCTCCGGGCCAGTTCAAGTTTTATTTTCTAATTGCATTTTCATTTATAAACACAAATTTTGTTTTCTTTGGAAGGAATGTTCTACGTTGGAGTACTTTTTTCTTTTAATTCTGGATGTAAAATCTAATAATCCCACGATTTATACGGGCTGTGGATCAGCCGCCTAATTTTAAGATGACATAGTTAGGCTCTTACTTCACCGGCAGAAACACCTGTCTGACCGGAAGTTGTGATGACGCTACTACCTTCATGTAAACATCCCAGGCATTTCGAGTCTTTCTTTCGGACATTTTTTTTCTCCGTTTCGCCAGAATGTCGGCCACAGTCCCCACGCGTCGTTTCCACCGGCCCGTGGGCCTTTATGAGCGTCCCTAACCCCTAAAGACAGGAGCGGGGCTGGGCCGAGACCTCGAAGCCAACAGGTGAGGCGTCCGCGTAGGCCGGGCCGGCAGTTTAACCACTCGTGTGCCGCATTCTCCCCGCACACCTGCTCTGCGCGCTCCGGCCGCCGGGCCGCCTGCGTCGGGAGGACTCACGCGTTCGCGACGAGGAGACCGGCTGCGGCTCGGGCAGCCCCGGGGGGCGGGGAGAGGTGGGGAGAGGCGGGACCGGCCGCGCAGGGGCCGGGCGTGCGGAGGCAGAGCCGGCCGGCGGAGGCGGGCTTTCTCCAGCCGCGGTCGCACCCTTTCGGCTCGCGGCGTCCGGGCGCTCGGACCATGTCTTGGCGCCGCGCTGCGCTGCGGGGGACGAGGCTGGTTCGGAGCGGGAGCGGCTCGGCGGGCCGGTTCGGCGGGGTAGTGGGAGCTGCGGCCTCTGGGTACCGAGCGCGGCGGGCAGGGCACGGGGGGTTCGGCGTGGCGCGGAGGCCTCGCAAGGGTCTGGACCGAGCCGTGGGCGCGGGCCCCTCTTTCCCCGGCGCCGGGTGGGTCCTCGGAGGGCGGCGGGAGCCCGGGCAGTGTAGGCGGTGAATGATGCCCTAAGCCGTAGTGCCTTCTTACGGATCGTGTGACTCTTCCCTCGAAAACACCCGAGTTGTGGTATTGGGGGAGCTTGGAACCTCCCGCCCCCCCCCCCGCCCCGTCTAATAAATTGGGATTTCAGATAAACAGCGATTAATTTCTAGTCTTAGTTTATCCGAAATATTGCGCGGATTTTATTTAGACTCGGCAGTTACTCGCTTTTTATGTGAAGTTCTAATGTAATCGATCGTTCTGCATTTTTATTTGCTAAACCTGGCAACCTTCCTGCAGGAAGTGAAGGGGGAGCTTCCTACTAAAGGGCCCAGTCTTTGAGGATGGGAACTGTGACTTACTCATGTAGATGTCGCCTCTGGCTAGACCGAGGATTGCTTTCCCTGTGCTTCCCGGCCTCCAGGACCAGGCCTGCGGTGGAGGACCCCCTGGCCTGGGCTGATGGCTGTGCGGCCCTTGGGCCCGAGCCGGTGCTCCATGGTGGTTCTGACAGTTCCAGTGTCTTTGCCTGCCACTGCGCACCCATCCCTCTGTGTTGGAATCTCTTCCTTCCTACTTGGTTTGGTAACTCTGATCAGTTCTGCCAGACTGTAGGAACTGTTGATTACCTTTCTATTCTGAGCTGGTGACCCAGTCCGTGAAGGTGCTGACTACGTGGTGTTAACTATTTGACTGACTGTCCTTGAGCCCCTGATGTGTTTTTCCAATGATGTGCATCCCTGGGACATGTAGCCTTTCGCCTACTTAGTATATAGCAGGCGCTCCATGAATGTGGCATGGCTAATGCGTGCATCAGTGTTGAAGTGAAACGGTTCTTGTGCGTTTCTCTGTTGACGTCTCTTTCCTTACTAGGTAGTAACTTTTGCCAAGCTCAGCCAGAATTGAAGGAGAAAGGTGCTTTCCAGAAACTTTTATTTGGGAGGGTGGGGGGTGATATTTCAGATCCACCTCCGACCTCCTCTCACTCCCCAAGATAACTTGGGTATGAAGGTTTTACTGGAACTCCCGCTTCCATACTGTGGTAGGCAGTTTGGGGATGACGGTTAGATGCTGGACCAGAGATGAACAGGACTTGTTTTCTTAGTTGATAAGCCAGATAGGCTGCTGATTTATTACACCAAAGCACCTTCTTAGGTCCAGGCCAGGCCCATTGATTAACTTTTTTTTTTTTGGTTTATGCTCCAGGAACTGAGCCTGCTTTTTGTTTAACACACATCATCTGCCCTCCATCTAAATTGGTTGCAATCTCCCTAGCATGCTATTCCTAGTCTCTTCTTGAGATAAGTACCCAGGCCCTTTTTGTGTTTTAAAGATTTCCTTGCTAACTATTGGGAAGCAAGGAATAGTAGATTGTAAACACTGGGGAGTTCTAATGTTACAATGTTCCACTGGAGTAGTTCCTTCTTCTCTTTGTAATTACTGAAGGTCATGTTTGTTACAGGCAACCTTATTCTAAGTGTGTGGGCATGGCTATGTAGATCAGCCACTCATCATCCAAGGATAAAATGTAAAAAATCCATTTAATTATTATTATTTTTTTTAAGTAAGCCCCACTGTGGCGCTTAAATTCATAGTCCTGAGACCAAGAATCACATGCTATACCAACTATGCCAGCTAGCTGCCCCCAACATTTAGATTTTAAATGCTCTCAAATGAATGAAGTGTTTGGAAGGAGAAGTTTTTCTGTCAAAACTTGAATTTGGAACATAATCATGAGGAGACTATTTTTGAAAATATTTGAAACTTCAGTTCTTTATCTTATTCTCTTAATCTTTAGGTATTCGAGAAATTCTCTTTTGAAGCCCATATTCTGTGATTCTTTTTGAAGATTTGTAGTTTTTCTCTAACTAGTTTACATCAGGATGTTGTATGTGGTTGGGACAAGGCAATAGGTCCTGGCTGATCAAGAAAGATAAAGTGGATGGGGAAAAGTTCTAGGAGTAGGGAGAGAGATTTGATGATATAAAACTGGTCAATATTTTAGTGAATATATTCCTGTTAATAATGAATGCCTCCTTTTACAAGCTCCCAACAGCTGGGTTTTAAATAATACATACCTAGAGGGTCCATGTAATCAGGAAACGATAGTAATAGTGTTAAATGTTATTGAACATTTTACTGTGATCAAGGCACTGTTCTGCTTTCTATCAATTCATTTATTTTTATTTTTTATTATTATTTTTCTATCAATTCATTTAAACTTCATAAAACCCTTTGAGGTGGGAGTGACCGTTGGTCCTACTTTACGGATTGGGAAACTTGGATCTATGAGTGTTGTGGTTGACATACCTTAGTTTCCTTAAAATTTTTGAAATTTTGTAGGTTCTCTGTGTCAAAGTGATCATGGAGATTTGGCATATTTTAATATAAAAATGAAAACTTTTAAAAAACTAATGGTCAGGTCAAGGTCAGTCATTAGGACAGTCTGTTTGAAATTTGGTATTCAGAAATAAGAGTGTGCCAGGCTTTATACTAGGTTAATATGGTTTCACCAAATAATTAAGGATATTGGTAGGCTAGAGAAGCACACAGTCCCTTTTGGTTTTTGTAAACAAGTACTTTGTAAACTGGTATTTTTTTTTTTTTAAGATTTTATTTATTTATTTATTTGACAGACAGAGATCACAGAGAGGCAGGCAGAGAGAGAGAGAGAAAGGGAGAAGCAGGCTCCCTGCTGAGCAGAGAGCCAGACACAGAGCTCAATCCTAGGACCCTGAGATCATGACCTGAGCTGAAGGCAGAGGCTTAGCCCACTGAGCCACCCCGGTGCCCCTAAACTGGCATTGTTGTACTAGTAATAAGTAAAACTCTTTTTTTCTGTTTCATAGACTTGGGTATATATTTGCATATCAGGTTTTCATTAAATGGATCTCATTTGCTATATTATCATTAATGATTATCTTTAATGTTTAAAGCTGCACTGCCTTTTAAAATTCTTTTTAGGATGGGGAACAGCACATCATCATCTTTGGGGAAGTCAGCAACTGCTCCTGTGAATCAGATTCAAGTGAGTGATGTGGGAGACATAGGAAAAAACTTTCCTCTGTAGAAAAAGAATTGTGTTTTACACATTTAATATGCATATTCAATATCTAACCTGACATAGTTTGGCAAATGAATTACTAAATATATACTTTAAAATGTGCTATCAAAATAATCCATGTGACAGAAAATTTCTAGATCATATTGGTAGCCAAAATTTATGAGGTTTATTATTAATGGAGTCTTTACTCCCTCTAAGTTGGGTCTGTGAGGTTAGCTCCTCCTTCCCCTCAGACCTACCTCCGTCTCCTGTTGATACCAGTCAGGCTGCCCTTCTCCAGGGATACTGTTTGATTTTGGCCTGGGAAGCTGCTTCACAGCTTTTTCCCCCAACACAGAACTGAGCGTGCTGTAGTTACTTTATAAATGATCCTCTTAGCGACACCATTTGCTGCTGTGTACTGTTTTCCTCTCTTTCACTGCAAAACACAGTTAATTCTGCCTCAGAAAACCTTCTCTTATATGCATTTCTTCCCTCGAGGTCCAGAAGACACACTCATGTTTTTTTTTCTTTGTTCCTCATCACCAGCCACGACAACATAGATAACATTTCTGCCTTTAATTTGGCTAAAAAAGTATTTACTCACAGCTGATGAATGTAACAGCATGCTAGAAACCTGTTGTGAGGGTTCCTTCTTAAAGTGAGAATACAAAATGATGAAAATTTAGCTAGGTTGAGCCTGAGGGAGATGAGAAGGGTTGTTTGAGACACTCTGGCCTGTTATCTTGAGTTTCAACTCTGGAATCTCTTCATCGGTGGGGTGTTTTGTTTTTTGTTTTTTTGTTAAGATTTTATTTATTTGACAGATATCACAAGTAGGCAGAGAGAGAGGAAGGGAAGCAGGCTCCCTGCTGAGCAGAGAGCCCGATGAGGGGCTCGATCCCAGGACCCTGGGATCATGACCTGAGCTGAAGGCAGAGGCTTTAACCCACTGAGCCACCCAGGCGCCCCTTCATCGGTGTTTTTACTGCATGTCAGCACCCTGGATGCTCAGCTGTCCATAAACGATGGTCTCAATGTGCCTATAACCTGAGCAGGCATGGTGGAGGAAAGAGTGCTGGCTTTGGTGTTGGGACAGGTTGGGTTAAATCCTAGTGTTGTGAACTTCTCAGCCTGAATTTTCTCATCTATTAAATGGATTCATTCATACATCTCTGGTATGGCTGGCTTTCTCCAAGGCAGACTTCTGTACTGAATTTTAGAAGTAATCAGAAGAGAAAGCATAAAAATAGATCCACTTGCAGAGAGCTAGACTGTGCTGTAAGCCCCTTCTGACGCCCAAGGATGGATGTAACTTTATTTTTTTATTATTATTTTTTTAATTTAAAGATTTTATTTATTCATTTGACAGAGATCACAAGTAGGCAGAGAGGCAGGCAGAGAGAGAGGAAGGGAGCAGGTTCCCTACTGAGCAGGGAGCCAGATGTGGGGCTCAATCCCAGGACCCTGAGATCATGACCTGAGCCGAAGGCAGAGGCTTTAACCTACTGAGCCACCCTGGTGCCGTGGATGTAACTTTAGAATTATCTTGCCTCTACTTTCTGATTTTTGGCTTTCATCTTGAAGGTGTTGCTTATGACCCACATAAGAACAATATAGATGCTTGGGTGCTAGACTTATCTATTCAGAATCCCTTGAAGGACCTGGACATTCATGTATTTAGAAACAAAAAAGAAAACAGACTTCACAGGCATGCAGATGCATAGGAAAATCTCATGGTCTTTGTGATAAAGGCCTGGAGAGTAGTTTCCAAAGCATGCTGATACTAGAATCCTCTGGGAAGTTAAAAAACAAAAACAAAAACAAAAACAAAAAAACTTTTGACTTCTGCCTGAAACCCTTTGAATCAGCATTTCTGATAGTAGCTTTTCCAGGAACAAGAATATAAGAATGCCTTATCAATACTGTAATGACAATGACAGTTTTTTTTAAACTATAAAGATTCAAAGGAAGGAGTGAAAGTTGAGGGGGTAAATTGTTTTTATACCTGGATCAGTGAAAGCTTTGCATTTTAAATGGAACTCGTATTATCAGTCCTCACCATTAAAAGTAAAGGAAGGTAAGGAGTTAGCTCCTGAACATCTACTGAGTATTTAAGAGGCAATGTAACAGAGTTAAGTGCCTGATCTGTAGAATCAGACTTGCCTGGGCTCAAATCTCAGCTTTCCAGGTCTTATTAGGTGAGGACTATGACTAAGTCACTTACCTTCTTCACTTTCCCCATCTGTGCCTCACTTTCCCCATCTGTAAAGTAGATAGAATAATATGACCTGTCTCAGGATTATAGTGAGGTTTACATGAGGTGGTAAAGATTAGATGTTAAGAATTGTGTCTGGCATACAGAGATGTTTGCTGTATATGAATTGGCTATGATTATTGTTGTTATCACTCCATGCTAACTTTGCCTCTGTTATAACCCATTTTTTTCCCTAAAAACATCCCTTTTAAATAAATAATATTCTCAATCTGCAAATGAGAAAATAGATGATGGAGACTTAATTTGAGCACTGAATCATGAGTCTCCAAACCCATCCCCTTTCCACTATAATGGTTTCTTCCCAGAAGGTAATGTCTAGAGTTAAAAAAATTTTTTGTTTGTTTGTTTGACTTTAGGAAACAATTTCTGATAATTGTGTGGTGATTTTCTCAAAAACATCTTGTTCTTACTGTACAATGGCAAAAAAACTTTTCCATGACATGAATGTTAAGTATAAAGTGGTGGAATTGGACATGCTTGAATATGGAAGTCAGTTTCAAGATGCTCTCTACAAAATGACTGGTGAAAGAACTGTGAGTGTATCCTCTATTGTGTTTTTCCTCCAAATAAATGGTACCTGGGTCACCTACTGGCCTAGGCCCTTATGTTATGTAAAGTGAGCCAAGCATTCTCTGTCTCATCCTCTGAGAATCTTTTTTGGATAAAGAAATGGCAGATCTGGGAACAAGATTCAGAGACTAAGAAACAGCAGAATTATTTTATTTTTATTCTTGCCATATTTGTGTGTGTGTGTATGTTTTGACTAGGAGGGTGGGGTGATGGTGTTGTCATGAGTGCTTGCCTTTGAAACTTGAAGAACCTCCTGGAGCTTTTCTCAAGATGAAATCCTTTCTCCCCTTACTTAAAAAGTACAGACCATGGGTCAGTCTTCAGCTGCTGTGCTAATAGGAGTGCTTTAGTTCTTCATGTTTGTAGATTTCTGAAATTTGTCCAATCATAGGCATTTTTTCAGTGAAATGCATTGTCGGGAAAATACATAATATTGCCATTTTCCTTCTTGTTTGTATATGCCTGGAAGGTGTTTATAAATAATAATTACAGACTGTGTTATTTTACCTTTTATGTGCCATAGCAGTTAGAAGGAAAGGCTTGAGTGTCAGACTGCCCTGGATTTAAATCCTAGCTCTGTCATTTGCTATCATTGTGATTTGGGGCAAGTTCCTGTGCCTCATTTCCCTCCAAAATAATGCTAAAATTAGTACCTACCTCAAGGGTTTTAAAGACTTAAGTATTTTGTGAAAGAGCTTAGTCTGCTGCCTGGCCCATAAAAGTACCCAGAGTATGAGCATCCATTATTATTATGTGAAAGGTCTTATACTTCTGACGGTAGAGTGACACCTGATCTTTTGTTTATCCAACAGGTACCAAGAATATTTATCAATGGAACTTTTATTGGCGGTGCAACTGACACTCACAGGCTTCACAAAGAAGGGAAATTGCTTCCACTAGTTCATCAGTGTTATTTAAAAAAAAGTAAGAGGAAAAAATTTTAGTTATGTAGGTGCTCATAATGTTGCTAGTAAAATGTCAGTGATTTAAAGTGATAATGCCTTTTAAATGTTTGAGGTTGTTTTAAATATGTAAATTGTCTTCCTGAAAAAGTTGTAAAACAATAAATTGCTGTGGAAATCTCTTCTTCCTACTTGCCAATTCTTGAGCAAAGGGGATGATATTTAAAACTACAGGGGTGAAATTGTGTCAAAAGATAAGGAAAGGGGTGCTTGGGTGGCTCAGTCATTAAGGGTCTGCCTTCTGCTCAGGTCATGATCCCAGGATCCTGGGATTGAGCCCTCCATCAGGCTCCCTGTTCAGTGGGGGTACCTGCTTCTCCCTTTTCTTCTGCTGCTCCCACTTGTGCTCTCTCACTTGCTCTGTCAAATAAATAAATAAAATCTTTAAAAAATAGAATAAAGGGGCGCCTGGGTGGCTCAGTGGGTTAAAGCCTCTGCCTTAGGCTCAGGTCATGATCCCAGGGTTCTGGGATCGAGCCCCGCATCGAGCTCTCTGCTAAGTGTAGAGCCTGCTTCTCTCTCTCTCTCTCTCTGCCTGCCTCTCTGCCTACTTGTGTTCTCTGTCAAATAAATAAAATCTTAAAAAAAAAATAGAATAAAAATATTTTGGATTTGATTAATCCAATCCCTATATCAAACTTATCAACAAGAATTTTATTTTTTAATTTCATTTTATTTTTTTAAAAGAATTTATTTATTTATTTGAGAGAGAGAGGATGGTGAGAGAGGGAATACAAGCAGGGGGAGTGGGAGAGGGAGAAGCAGGCTTCCCGCTGAGTAGGGAGCCGATGTGGGGGCTTGATCCCAAGACCCTAGGATCATGACCTTAGGCAAAGGCAGATGCTTAATCAACTGAGCCCACCAGGTGCCTGTCAACAAGACTTTTTAAAGTGCACTTCCTGGGAAGCGTTTTCCTAGCTGATCCCACAGTCATTAGAGCGGATTGCAAATTCTGGGAAGAGAAAAAACTTCCTCAGAGGTGGGAGGACAGTGCATTTTGAGTGAAGTCCTTCTGCTTTCTGATCAAGATGGACCAAGGAATCTGGGACAGTTCTGCGGGAGACATCTGGTGGCTTTTTTGGGCATATGCCATTAGTGATGCTTCATACATGGATTTATTAAACTGCCATTAGGAGACCTTGGTAAAGCAAGATTTTGAATTACTTCATTCTCGTGTGGTAAATTAGAACACTGGAATGGAACAGAGAACAGCATGTCCTTTAGTCCTTTATTTTGCATTGTGCCAGTGAGAAATTTTACATGCTTGCTATGTTCTCTTCACCTTCAAGACCCCTTATAATAGACCAGTAATCTAGTAAGTAAAATGTTTCTCTGAGTTCTGTGAGCCATTCTAGCAAATGATTTGTTCCAGGGTCCTTGGAACCCTTAATCTAGAGCTGGTCAGTCAGGATAACAGGTGACAACCTGGATTTCAGATTGGTGCCTGAAGCAGGGTTTGAGGGGCAGTCTTGTAGGACTGAGCAGCTGCCCTGACATGCCCATTCCAGATAACCAATACTTAGTTTTAACTGAAAGGAGCTAGTTACAAAACCTAGGGTTATGGGGGAGGGATTTGGATAGGGACTACAATAAACCACTAAATCCTCAGTGAAAGAAAATCATTCCTAGTACTTAAACAGTGATTAATACCTATTAGATCAAGACAGAGAAGTATTCAAAACAAATCACATTTTCTGGGTATGGCCAGTAGGTAGGTGAATCTCTTAGAACAATAAATTCCTTTTTTATATAATATGGATAATACCATTTTCCTTAGTATTTATTTTGGGAAATGGAAATAATGCAAATCACATCACACAGTGCTTAGTATAGACTTTTCAATATGTAATGGCTATTATAATCACAGTGGCTCAGAAATATTATCTTGTGGACCCATCAGGATTTTCCAATGTCCTAGTTAAGATTTTAGGGAGGGGGATATACATTTCTTCTCTTTCCCCATGTCTTAGCTTGGGCTGTTATAGCAAGTTTAGACAAGAAATATTTTTCATATTTCTGGAGGCTGGGAAGGCCAAGATCAGGGAGCCCGCTAATTTGGTTTTGGTGTGGGCGCGCTTTTTGGTTTGCAGATGGTCATCTTCTGTGTCTCTGTGGCAGAAGAGAGAGAAAAAAGAAAGCTCTCGTCTCTTCTTGTAAAGGCACTAAACTATCATGAGGGCTTCACCTTCAAGCACTAATGACCTTCCTAAAGGGGCCCCATCATTAAATACCATCACACTAGAAATCACGGTTTAACATACAAAATTTTGGGAGACATTTACTCTGTAATACCATTCTTACAGTTTGATAAAAGTATAATACAAATCTAAGGCCAAACTAGGTATAAGCTGTCTCAGCAGCTATTTTTCCAGAACCAAAGGCTAGAAGAGAATGGTGATCAGTTTAAGAAAAGGTGATTTTATCTTTTTTTTTTCAGTCTTTTTAATTTTTAATGTTAAGATTTAGAAAATAAACTGTTTACTGTAGCCAGCTAATATGAAAAAATTGACCGTTTCTCATTTTATCATTAATCAATTCATCCTTGAATTGCCCAAATATGTAATAGGGAAGCTAAAAAAACTGTTGAGAAAAAAATTGGTCTTTTGTCTAAATGGATCTGGATTATTTACTAATATTATAAAAAAATACCATTTGAAAATAGTTTTGAAGTCACGTCTTCTTGATAAGGTTTATTAAATATTTTTTTAAACTTTAAAAAAAAATATTAAGACAGAAAGCGGAGGTGGGGTGCAGGGGAGAGACTCCTGAAGCAGACTCTCTATGGAGCAGGGAGCTTAACGTGGGGCTCTATCCCAGGACCCTGAGATCATGACCTGAGCTGAAATCAAGAGTGGGTTACTTAACGAACTGACCCACCTGGCACCCCCTATTGTTAAATATCTTTTAAGCCTAGTTTTCTTTATCCATGAAGAAATGCATAATTTGTGATCTTACTTTCTCCATATAACTGCTGTCATCTTTAAATAGAGAACTGTAAGATCAACCAAATGTTCAAAGTTTTGGTAGGTATATTCTGATATTACTTGCTTCTACTTTTATGTATTACCTATATGCTCAGATCTTAGAAGTTTTCAGAAGTTACGGGAATTCAGAGAGAAAAGAAATGTCTGCATTGGCACTACAACTTTTTTTGTTTATATAACTGATTTTTGGTGTTAACGTCACTTTTCCCAAGGATAACTTTGAGTAATTTCTTCACAAAAGAAACCTGTTGAAACTCTTTAAGAATGTGCATTTTGGTTAAATCCAGAAATCCACTGGGAAAAGAGTCCTCAACCACATGTATTTTAAAGATATAGTTAGAGGCATTATAAGGCTAATGTTAATTATCAAACTAATTTCATCTTATTGAAATATTTTATCAGATTACTGATAGCCTTAGATTTTACAAGGCATATTATAACCTTAAAATTCTTATTTCTTTAAAGAAATGAAAACTGGGGTGCCTGGGTGGCTCAGTTGGTTAAGTGTCCACCTTTGGCTCAATTCATAATCCTGGAGTCCTGGGATCAAGCCCCGCATTGGGCTCCCTGCTCAGTGCGGGGGGAGCTTGCTTCTTTCCCTCCCTCTCAAATAAAAAAATCTTTGGGAAAAAAAAAACAAAAACAAAAACTGAAAACCATTATTCGATGTGCATAGAGTTTATTTGGTGTATCTATTGGTTTCTACATAATACAACTGACCAGAAGCAGTTCCCGTAATGTGCATCTGCACTCACTCCATGTCTACAATGATGTACTCAGTATGGTATTTTTCAAGGCGAGAAAAGGAAAGATTTCACAGTATTGATGAAAACTTTTATCATGAAATAAATTTAATACATTAGTATTTCATCAATTTTCTATCAGAAAACAGCAAAATTACATTGTAAGGTATAGGTATATTATTTACAGAAAATATGGAAGACTCAACAATGCATCAACAAGTTTATCAACATACCTAAGAAACCCCCCACACCCCTCTTTTTAGGGTCCCTTCCTTTGAAATGAAACTTGTATAAATCAAACTTTGTATCCTTAAGCACCAGCTTGACAATTTTTTCTTTCAATTTTATAAAATATTCCTGCTTTGAAAGGCAAAGTGAATATAAAAATGTGAATGTAATTAAACAAATGACTGGCCTGGATACTTTTTATTGCAACAATTGCAATGTTTTACAACTATATTCACATCTTTCAGTGAATTTGCCTATAGGCTTGAAACAAAGTATTTGTTTTTTGTCTTGAAAAATTCTCTCAAAAAAGTAACCGTTTTTGAAACTGTACAACTCTTGTTTTTCATTCATAGTGTTTAAATATGCAGCTTAGTCCTTGGAGATTATGTTACACAAAGTCCAGCTTCTTGGATAATTTGTTATACCAAACAATAAAAAAACCTTAAACAACCACAAAATATTACTGATGGTAACAGTCGTATATGTAGAATGTTGTAAGTGTACCCAGATTATCCTATTAATAGGTACTTAAACTACTAATGTACTATCAGGTTTTAAAACTTAACAGTTAAATTTCCATTATGTAAAAACGAAAGCTCTGTAAGACCCTTTGAGTTCTGTACTTCAGAAACACTAACACTATTAAGGCATTACTTAATGAACAAGACCCTATAGAAAGTAACTAGTATGCCTGTGGAGAGCTAGTCATATTTTAAGGCAGTCAGAAGATTCATTTTTTTCACTTTAAGGCTCTTGCATACTTAAATTTTATTCTATGCAGGCATTATTCTGTGTAATTTAAGTATTCAGTAAGTGGTAAATTACAGATATCAAAGCCTTTATATAAAACAAATAGTTTAGTACTGTAACACCTCTCCCCTAAAAAACTTTTTAAAAAAGATGATTTCATGTATCTCATCCCTCTGGAGAATTTCTTCATTGTCAGAAGGTGGCAATAAAGGAAGAAAATATAACTCAAATGCATTACAAAAATTTCATCTACTTATACCACATTATATATAGTCCATGTTTAAAATAATAGTGCAACAAACACATCTGATTACAATTCATTAGTTGTTTAATAATTTAAACTTTATTTGGGTGTATATGGATTCTAAAGTTTACACTGCAAATAAAAACTAGTATTTAAACAAAAGTTCCAATATTCTATCAAGTTTATGTGGTAATGATACATAAAATAGCAAGGCTTTACCTTATTTACTACTCTTGACAATCCAAGTGTTCATTAAGTGAAACCAGCAGAAATGTAGCTAACTTACTAGTTCTTTTGTTCAGTTTTCTGATAACTTCTAAAAGTACAGAAGTCTAAATATATTTTAAAATTTAGTATCACTTGTGTTCATAAAACTAATATGACACATGGTGTGCTAAATTAAAAAGCAAAGGGAAAAATCTCTGTAGGCTCAGAAACAGCTTTTGTGTATTTTCATTGTATTTATGTAATTTATAATCATTGAAAATAATCACCTTAGTTTCAGTAATAGAATTTCTCAATGCAACTTCTCTAGTTTATATTTCTACCAATTTCCAATATAATTTGAAACTGTCACGGTTTAGGAAAATGTGTTATTTATTATAACTTTATTCAAACATATGCTTAACTATCTATATTAGATTTCTACATGAAAAAATATTGCCATAGAATTTTTAAATTAACTTCATAATTTTTCAAAAGCAAAAAACTTACCAATTAAAAAAAATGTTAAATGTGAATACAAGTTATTGACAGGCTCTTGTACACCACAAATGATGTATATATAAGTTCAGTTAAGTACTTACTAGATGAAAGATTTGAAAGTGGTTTTTATACGGAAATATGAACATGAGATATGCTATTTTTTGAGTATTCAGTTAATTATTTTTCTAAGAGCAAAGTAGATCTAGAATTGCAAACAAAGGCTGAATAAACTTACTCAAAGGCCACAAAATTTTTGCAACCATTTAATGCAAAAGGTATATAATATAATTTGATTTGGGGAGAAAAATTAATCCAATTATTGTTTGAAGAGACCTGCCCATTATTAATTTGAAAAATATTATCTGAAATCTGCAAAGAGATTCATCCCAACTTTGAATATGGGTGATTTTCCTGTCATTCATTTTATTACTGAGGTAAGGTTAGAAACAGAAGACAAAAATGTCAGAATAAAGTAATTTTAAGAAAATGAGCAAACAAAAAAACGAGGTATAATCTTCCAACAAGGAAGATTAGGAAACAAATAATAGGGAAATGCTAAATAAAATCTGTACAGTATATATAACTAAATTCATAGCTTTTTCCCTAATTCTTCCCTGTGCATGTTTATATTGAGGCTATAGAACATTTCTCTAGAGGGGATATTGCCTTAACAAATCACCCCAAACCTATGGCATGTAAGTCTAGAATTTTTCCTTTTTGATAACTTACTCTAAGGGCACCACTTTTTAAGAAATTTTTACCTGTGGGTATATAATCTTTAGGTTAAATTAGGGTAAGTCCAATAAGTGATCACAATGATTTCTTTTTAATTATTGTTTAGATGTGCTTTTAAAATTTTTTTCACTTAACTGTCAGATCCTCCAATTTATTCAGGAATTTTGCCTTAAATTTCCAAAATAATTTTATATCTTTTTTGCAAAATCTCCAAAAATGAGGGCAAATCCTGGTACAATGATAATCATTTGTAGATTTACCTGTTATTTTAAAAGGTTAATCAAATGCTTATTAATAGTGTTTCTTCATTTAGTTAAGTACAAGTTTTTCTAGGTATATCCAAATGGATGTTAAAACTTGGAATGTGTTATTTTCTCTTGATCAGACAATAGTGACTTTAGTCAAAAATACTCACCTTCACTGTAAACATTTTTCTTCCATACTTTCCCACTCAGAATAGGAATGTTTTAATGAGTTACTGAGCCTACTGAATGGTTATTTGAAAACATTTTATCATTTGAAACATGTATTGTCAATGTTTCTAATTAAAAAAATTCTAATTTGTATTGAAAGCCCTCCTCCTAATTTAAACTTTTATACAGATATTAAATCATTGATTCTTCTAAGATCCCAGCATCAAGATAGGTTACATTTCAAAAATTGAAGGTTAAAACTGGTTGTCTACAATCCCCCAAAGTAAGATAAAGCAAGAGGTTCCAGAGGGGTAATACTAAATTCCATTCACTAGTATCTTCCTCACTAATGTTTCCATAAAACAGTGACTAAACTAAATAATATGTTAACTGTTAATAAATTGCATTTTCAAGAAGTTTCAACAAATAAGGAAGAGTATAAGATTAGCTTTGTTTCACTAATTATAACTATGTCCTGAAAATATTTACATATTTTCTAGGAAATAAAGTTTATTTTTCTTAGAATTGTTTTTAAAGCAATATCTCCCTAAATATTAATGTAGTAATAATCCTAAAAGTAACTCAGAAAATAAAACTTCTTTATCACTTCAACATAATGAGGTAAAGTTTTTAAAATTTTTTCTATAGGGCTATATTGTATATAGCAACACAGGTTGTTAAGATATTAATTGTAATTGAGGATTACTATGAACCAAAAAGCATACATGTTCACAAATTTGTTTTGCTACCTAAAGCAATCATGTAGATACATTATTTCCTAATACCTAAAAAGATAAAAGTTTTGAATAATTTTATTTCACCACCTACTCTTGTGAGTCCATGTCTTCCCATTCTGTGGGGAGATGAATTCCGGAATGAGAATGAAGAGCCCAAGATTGGTAGATCCAGTACGCCAAAGCCATACTCTTTTAGACCTTGGGTCCCTAACCTACATTAAAAATCACCTTTTAAATTTCAGATTTTTTTCTTCCTTAAATCTTACCCTAATCCATTTAATTAGATGTACGTAAATCTTCAAAACGGTCACATCTAATCTTACTTCTCTGATGTACTGGTTGGCTTGTGAACATCTAAAAGCACTATAGGAGAAGTACATAACTGAAGGAAATATACTTTTATGCTATATTCCAGTTGACATTTCTATTAGGAATAAAAAGTTAGATCATGTTATAATTTTTAAGATCTTGGGTTTACTTAAAAACTTCAAAAACTATTACACGATTTTACTAGTCTCTTTAAACTTTAAATTCAATCCAAACATATTTTAATGTTATCAAAAGTAGCTAACACCTTACATCCAATGCTTGACAGAGGGCCAAAAACCAGAATGATATCAGAAGCAATGTACAAGGGTGGTGGTGCACACACACTACCTTGTTGACAAAAAAATCTCAGGTAAATATCATAACATTTACAAATTGCTACTAGTTGCCTTGAAGGAATGGCTCATAGCAGAGCCAGCATTGTTAATGAGTTTGAAAGGGGCATTTTCTTTTCACTTCCAGAGCCCAAATTTCTTATGAAACAGAAAATATCTTCACAAATTCGAATGCTATTCAAGTCCTCTTTTGCCCTCAAAACAAAACCTCTGACTCCTAACCATACAGAAGGTTATAATTTACATTTACTAGTTTGACTTTTCATATGACAAGAGAAGGGCTTTATAAATCCTTCAGTAAATCATTAATCATTAGGAAAAGAATACAAAAAAATTGAAATTTTATGTTATCTTAAACAACCATAATATAATTATGAGCAAAAATATTGGGATTTCAATATGTTAAACCTCCCCAGAAAGGGACATTTGCTCAAGAAAATAATGCACTTTAGTGTAATGAAAAGGAAGTTTAATTTACACAACAAGTAAAATAGAAAAAAAATTTTCTTACAGACTGGTTAGTAGTAATGTTACTCAAAAGTTGCCTTTCAAATGTGAAAGACCTAGCTTGCTTTATTATTTTTTAAAATATCAAAAAAGAATGTCTTGCCACAAATGAATAATGGACAGAGATATGTCACTGACATGTTTACAATTAGGAAATATCTAAAACCCATTTACAACTGACTAAAAAAATAGTTAAAGGTAATTAGAATATTTAAAGTAAGGAAAAAGCTAATCTGGTTACAGTTGAGATTTTAATTATCATACTTTTCATATTTATGAGTGGGGGAGTTAAATGCTTAAAACAGTTTGTTGTTTACCTTTGTTAAGACTATGAAAAAAAAGAAAAAGTGTGGCTACACATGGCTATGTTGTTGTATTTCAGCACAAACTGTCAAATCATGCCCCCACTCACAGCAATAAAATGTACCAAAACAAACAAAAAGCAAACCAAACAGACTTCCTCAGCTAACACAAACTTTAGTGTCTTTTCTCAGGGGTTTTCCACTCTTTTTCTGGCTAATGTAACAATCCTACAAGTATAAATAAAATATCAGATTTAAAGTATCTTTTTCATTGAGTAAGAAAGCTGCTATTTATGTCTTCTTAGAAAACTCCAAGGAATTTGTAAAAATGTGTTCATAATTTAATCAATTTTTTTTAAAACCCCCTGGTATAAAAATTTACAGATGAATTTGATATTCCATCACAGTTACATGGTCCAGTGCATTTCAGAGTATTTGGACATTGTCACAGCTGTCCTTTCCCAATGCAGTTAAGAAAACTTCAAGCACTTTTCAAACAAGTTACATGATACAGAACTACTTACTTTTGGCTCTCACTTCTCTTAAGTACAAATGAGATTATTCACCATAGCAAAACTGGTTATTTTACAGTGTCTATCAACAAGGAGTTCTCTGTTAGAAAGAGGGAGCTATAGTGTATTCTGAAGCTATTTCCCAAGAGCTAGTTTAGTAGACAAAGAACTTTGGGCTCATCTTTTTTTTTTTTTTTCTTTTCTTTTTTGGCAAGGTAAATTTTCCATTATGCACATACTATACTATCATCATCTTTCATTGGATTAAGATTAGCTGGGAAGTAGCTACATATTTTTAGCAAGATCACTGATGGCAACGGACCTCTGATATCATGCTGGTGCTTATGGTTAAATCACATCTAATGTGAAATTCCGAATTACATCTAAGGCTCCAGTATCAAAGCCACACATATCCAACATGCCTCTATCATCTGGGTCTGCAATGGTAAAACCATTTGATGTCATTCCACAAACAATCAATTTAGCTGGAATGTCCATTTTCTGTAGGAAAAGATCAAAATACATATTTAAAAAATTTAATTTATGTAAAGCAAAAGCAAATAACCTCCAAAATTAAAACACTTCCAAGGCTATCACAATTTTTCATTCTGAAGTCAATTTTTTTCTTCTCTCCATAAAATCTGTTAATCTATCAAGGTCAGACTCTGATCTTTAGAACAGAAAATAAAATTGTGTTAACAGCCTGCCTGAAATTCCTGCTTCTCTGTTTATGGGCCATAGAGTGCATTCTTAGGCAGCCAAGAGGCTTTCAACTTACGAAACCTGTCAGGACATTTGGGGACATCAGATATTTTTACCAATATATCAAACACCGGGGCAGTGTTAGTGGGTATATATAAAGAAATATTTCCCTGCAATTCTCAACTTTTGGTCTGGTTTTGTTATATATGATATATGCATGTCACATGTCAGAACTTGTTTTACAGCTATGATTTAAGGTTAAAATAACTGAATTTTGAAGAAAAACCAATAATCATTGAGTATACAATATGTCAGATACCATAATGAACTCTTTAACTTATCTAATGTAACTGTTATAATAACTTTAAAAGGTAAGTAGTGCTATTAAATACTATGACATACATCAGTTAAATAATTTGCTTAGGTCTGCAGTTAGTAAAAGGGAAAGACCCAAGACTCAGAACCCAGCCTGTCTTGACTACAAATTCTATTCTCTCCCTTTCTCTCAAACTTAAACATACATTAGAATCCCCAGGAGGGTTTGTTAAAACACAATCCCACTCTCCAGTTTCTGAGTCAGCAGGTCTCCCATGGGGTCTAGGAATTTTCATTTCTGGCAAGGTCCCAGGCTAAGGCTGCAGATAGGAAAACCCCAATTTGAGAAATAGCACTCCTCATCAAGTTCTAGTTCTTCTCATCACACTAGCCACAATTCAAGTTCTTGACAACCATATGTGACTAGTGGTTACCACACTGGGTACTGTAGCTAAAGAACATTTCCATGATTTGAGAGCTCAACTGGAGAGCACTGATTAGAACACAGAAGTAGCCATGAAACTTAAAACACAGATGATACCTTTGCTTTAATTTTATGTAGTCCTTTAACAAAATTCATAAATGATACTTTAATTTTTCAAGGAGCACAATGAATTATTAAAAATGTATAGCTAAGGTAAAATATTTTTATTATTGCCAAAAAACAGTTTGCAGAGGATATTTTAGTAATGTATAGAATTTGGGACTAGCTGAAATAAATTATATATGGCTAGCCAATATTTCTTATTTCAAGTACTGTTGAACTGGCTTTGTATCCCTATACAAAGGTACAGAATTATCTTGCAGTATTTTTTGGAAAAATATAGTGAATATTTGAGTACGGAGTGTTATTTGGGGTGAGAAATAATACTAGAATTTTACCTTTCGATACTCTCTGAGAGCAACAGCAGGATGGACACTTCCAGCAAAAGTCTCATTATCAGTGAAGACAATGAAGACATCAGCCGCTGTGTTTGTCTTTTGAGCCCAGATCATTGGAAGAGAGCAATCAGTTCCACCTGCTGGGATCTAACTCAGAACAAAAACATGACTGATAATAAGTGTCCTAATTTCCATACTCAGATGTCTGAAATAATTAAATGCTTAAAATTTTTTTTTACATTATCATTTTGCTTACGGCTAAAACATAGACCTTCTCAAAGCATGTGTATATATTTATTATTTTGTGCTTATGGGAAAATTGAGATAGAACTATTTATTCTCATAAACATTAATATCAGACATAACATCAATATAAGATTATTATACAACATATTAAGTACACTTAATAAAACAGTTCCTTACCTGATTCATGGTCATTAAAACCTGTTGTAATGTCATATCCGTAGTCACTGGACATGGTACCATTTCATCTGAAAAAGCAACTACATAACACTCTTTTTCTGTTCGTGTGACAACCTGAAAAGTTCAAGTAGTAATTTTCAGCATATGGGTGAAATAAATACAGTATCTTGAAGTTCATAAAACTTCATCTTTAGAAGATATTTAATTTGGGAGTGCCTGGTGGCTCAGTTAGTTAAGCATCTGCCTTTGGCTCAGGTCCTGATCCAGGGATTCTGAGTTGGAGCCCTGATCGGGCTCCCTGCTCAGTGGGAAGTCTGCTTCTCCCTCTCCCTCTCCCTCCTACTCACATGCTCTTTCTCTCTCTCAAATAAATAAAATCTTTAAAAGATATTTATTTTATTTCTAAACTTGTTTGTTTTGGTACTACATAGTAACAGTATAGCTTTCAAAGTACTTTCACAAACTATTACAAAGCAACTGGTTTTCGTAATATGTGCATATGTGCTTCTCATTTTATTAAATATAGAATAAAGTCACAGAAGAGAAGTGACAGTCAGGCTAGAACCAAAGTCTGACGATTATTATTAGTTCCTGATCTTTTAACTTCCATATTTATTAATAAGTTCTCAAAGCATTATCTGCTTTCTCAATAATACATTAATATTTAATATTCAGTAAAATTAAAAATTTCTGTTATTCTTTAGACATGCTTTATAAATATACTTACAATATACTTTAAACTTTGCTTTTTCTTTCTTTCCTTTTTTTTTTTTTTTTTAAAGATTTTATTTATTTATTTGACAGAGGGAGATCACAAGTAGGCAGAGAAGCAGGCAGAGAGAGAGGAGGAAGCAAGCTCCCTGCCGAGCAGAGAGCCCAACTCGGGGCTTGATCCCAAGACCCTGGGACCACGACCCAAGCCGAAGGCAGAGGCTTTAACCCGCTGAGCCACCCAGGCGCCCCTCTTTCTTTCTTTTTTGAGAGAGAGAGAAAGAGCATGCACATGAGTGGGGAAGGACAGAGGGAAAGAGACAATCTTAAGCAGGCTCTATGCCCAGTGTGGACCCCAAGGCAGGCTCAATCTCTCAACCCTGAGATAGTGACCTGAGCCAAAATCAGGAGTTGAATACTTAACAGAGCTACCCAGGCTTAAAACTCTCCTTATATAGCAAAATGACAAAAACAGGTGAAAACATAATCCTTGATCATATCTAACTTTATAGTTTTGCCCCACATTAAATGTTTTTTTAGGGTGGCAAAAACTATCTAAACTATCTTAGGTGTTCTTACCATGCACATTGTTGCAGCAACTGTGCTAGCATTGAGTACACTACCCAAAACTCTTTGGTTCATAGAAGCACTGACGTCAATAGCCAGTAAGAAACGCTTTCCAGTTGGCTCCACTGTCTAAAAAAACAAAACAAAACAAAAAACAAACCAAAATGATCATTAAAAGCAATCACAGAAATTACAATTAGATTTCTAAAAATTGTAATTACTTATCTTTCACTTAACAGACCTGGTTTTTGATTTACCAACTAATCAAGAAGTACTTGAAAATGCTTAAGCTTTTACTAGAGGGAAAAACAAAATAAGATAGCCTACTTAGTAAATTTATTTAAAGAAGTTACCATATTCCTGTTTTTTTTTTTTAGAAATCATTCCTCAGAAAGTAAACTGAGAATTTTTAGCAAAGTTTTTTGTGGTAAAATATAAATAACATAAAATTGCTTTTAAATCATTTTTAAGGGTATAATTCCATGGCATTAAGTACATTTACAATGGTATGTAACCACCACTATCCATTTCCAGAAAATATATCAAGTCCCAACTGGATCATTTGTTATAAAACAGAAATCAAACCATTACCTTAAATGTTTTGTAAAAAGCGGCATCTAGAGCTTTCAAAATTTCCTCATCAGGGCGCCACTTTAGTTTTCCTCTGAGTCCATGACCTGTTTTATAAGTTTCTGATGCAATTAAAACATGAAATGGATGTATACGAGCCTAGAAACAAGACAGAGACAGAAAGTAAATGCAAAATTCAAATGAAAGATAGTCATTATGTGTCTTAGGTTTTGTTACTGTAGCTAATAAATATATTTCATAAGGAAAAAACAAAAACGAGGACTTACTATCTTAGGTTTCAGAGTTAAATAAAATCTGGTATGATAAAAGTCTGAGTATCTGAAACTGGCTATGTTTCCAAAATTTAGAAGTTGAGTTTTTCAATTAGTAGTAGCTAACAAATGTAATGTTTACTTTTTTCTTTTCTTTTTTAATATTTTATTTATTTATTTGGAGAGAGGGAGCGTGTGTGTGTGTGTGTGTGTGTGTGTGTGTGTGTGTTTAACAGCAGGGGGTAGGGGCAGAGGGAAGGGAGAAGCAGGCTTCCCTCTGAGCAGGGGAATCTGAGGACCCCTGGATCATGACCTGAGCCAAAGGCAGACGCTCAATTAACTGAGCTACCTCGGTGCCCCAGTGCTTACCTTTTTTAACAGTTTTTCATTATACAGTTTTTCACATACTAAAGCTACTTCTGAATTTCCTGGTTCAAGCACTGAATTAGCCGTCATCTTTCCTAGATTCCTTAGTAATGCAGTAAGAGGCATTTCTTGCAACAAAGCCTTCCATACCTATTGAAGTGACACAGGCAGAAATACAAAAGATTAAGGGCACATGAATCAGTATAATCATGGTATCAATATCGCTAACATATTCCTTAAGCCTTTCTTTTGAGTTCCAAGTATTTCCTAAATAAAAAGATTTGCACACTGGTCAAAGGCTTATCAAATTAACTTCTCTTTACTAAAGTAAGAAAGTAAAGTCTATTTTAAGATGGAACTATACAGAAGAATTTTATTTATTTATTTTTAATTAGCAGGCAAATTAACCAGCCTTTATGAAGCAGATATAACACTTACCGGAATGCCAACTACATCTGGGTATTGTATTAAGTATTTTACATAAATACTATTTTCAAGACATATTTTACATTTTTTTTTAAAGGTTTTATTTATTTGACACAGAGAGTATAAGTAGGCAAAGAGAGAAGGAGAAGCAGACTCTCCGCTGAGCAGGGAGCCCGATGCAGAGCTCAATCCCAGAACCATGGGATCATGACCTCAGCTGAAGGCAGTCGCTTAACTGACTGCGCCACCCAGGCGCCCAAGATATATTTTACAATTTTTGTTAAAAAAGTGGATATACTGGGGCGCCTGGGTGGCTCAGTGGGTTAAAGCCTCTGCCTTCAGCTCAGGTCATGATCTCAGGGTCCTGGGATAGAGCCCCGCATCAGGCTCTCTGCTCAGCAGGGAGCCTGCTTCCCCCTCCCCCTCCCCGCCTGCCTCTCTGCCTACTTGTGATTTCTGTCTGTCAAATAAATAAATAAAATCTTAAAAAAAAAAAAAGTGGATATACTGTTACCCATCTTATAAATTACGTATTATAAATTACTTTTATACGTATCACATCATAAACTTTAATACATAATATATGCCACAAATTACTTGTTTAATCAAGCTATAATATACTTTACTTACCTCTTTAGACTTTAAATGATTTGTTAGAAGATGTTCCCTAACTAATCTATGCTCTTCTATTAGATGAATGACTTCCAGTTCATCTTTTGTGCGTTTAACTTTTTCTACAGCCTCCAGATACTTTAATAATTTTTCAGTCTCCACAGAAAGTGCTTTTTCTTTATACAATTCATGGACTTCTTTCCAGCCCTTTGTAATATATTTGGTCACAATAGCAAGTCCTTTAAGAAAATAAAGAATTGAAATGGCATGAGAATTTCTAGGTGAAAAACAGAACATGTTTACCGAGAATGAAATAACTAGATACGGAGGAGCTAAGCTCTTTACACTGGGAGGGGGCCTTCAGTGATTAAAATAAACACACTTAAGCCGATGAAGTCAAATGATTTTGCTTATTCCATCACAACTGTATTAATATGAGGCTCTGGAGAAAAACCTCCTATATTCTAAGTCATTTTGTTATAGAGCTTTTTTCCTTTTTGAGACACCAGCATTAGGAACTTTGGTAGACAATACCTATCAGGTCCACAATCTCAGAACGATTCACAAAGTACAGATCTGTCTCAAATAATCTATTCACTTGCCCCTTTCTGCTACTAAGTAAATATGCATTTACAAGCAGCAGAGGTAGTGGAAGTGGACAGTTAGGTAAGTCATTTAAATATTTTTTTAAATAGATGAGAAAGTACAAATTAAAAAAAGGAAAATAAGGTGTTCATCTCTTTTGTAATTCCTTTTAATAACTGTTAAGAGCTTGGGATTGGGGCACTGAGGATGGCACTGAGGATGAGGTTCTAGCCTATACTTTGCCAATAAATGGCTGTGTGACCAATGTAGGCCTTAGTTTTCAATTCTGTTAAATGGGGAAGAAGACTTTTGAGTTATCAAACTTAAAAAGGTCTATGGGGTAAATGTTGGTAAAATAAATAAATGGAACAGGTCATATAATGGAGAATGGTTAAGATGATAGAACGAACTAGAGTATGACCTACTAATGTTTTAGTGAAGTTTTGACTTAGTGGTGCCAAAAAAAGTACTTTCAAAAGAAGCCAGAATAGGTATTTTTATTTGATGTCTTCTGATTTTTTTAAATGACTTTAGCAAAGAATTCATTTTTTTCCCTAAAATATTGTGCAGGCCAATAAAATCCATCTTTAAGGCAGACTGAGCCTATGTGTTATCTTTGGACTCTGGATGATTTGATGAAAAGTCAATACTATTATGTAGGGATTTCTAAAGTACTATACAATAAATACCTGATTAATTAAATTACATTTTGATGTGTTTTATCTGTTTCAAATACATGTTTCAGTTAAGGTATTAAAATATTACTTATTTGGAGGTGCCTGGGTGCCTCAGTTGTTAAGTGTCTGCCTTAGGCTCCTGTCATGATCCCAGGGTCTTGCGAGATGGAGCCCTGGAACCCTGCAGCCCTGCATCGCATTGAGCTCCCTGCTCAGCGGGAAGCCTGCTTCTTCCTCTTCCACTCACCCTGCTTGTGCTCCCTCTCTTGCTATATATCTTTCTCTGTCAAATAAGTAAAATCTCTAAAAAAATTATTATGTTTCTGGAAGCTCGGAGTTTTTTCTGAATTCTTTTCACGTTGAGAAGCCTAGGAATCTCTTATGCCTGAACATACTTGCTATTATTAAAAGATGTTAAATAGGAGTTTTTCTCTCAAAAAAATTTAGAATTAAGGAATACTGTCTGTGGGAGTAAGTTTAGGGAACATCTACTAATTCATTTTATAGACCAAGAATTCAAAACCCAGAACTATTTGCACAAATTCAGAAACTAGTTTTTCCAACTAGAACTAGCACTTAGGTACACACCACCATGTGGTATCTCAGTAGACAAAGCTGGATCCCTACATTCTTCTTATACTGAATTAAAGATTTAAAAATAAAAAAAAATTTAAAGGGGCGCCTGCGTGGCTCAGTTGGTTAAAAATAAAAAAATTAAAAGCATGAATATGTTAGGGAAAAAACTACAGGTAAATATTTTTATGACCTTAGGTTGGCAAAGGCCATTCTAAACCTAACAAAAAATAAAAATCTATGAAGAAAAACAGGCAAGTTTCATTACATTAGAATTCCAAACTTCAATATGCCAGAAACCCCCATCAAAAAAATTGAAAGACAAAAGAAAAAAAGGGCGAAACTGCATGAGATCTATATAATATGAAGCTATAAATTCCTATGTGTCCCAGGTTCTTAGAACAGTGCCCATCCATTTGGTGCTCAATAAATATTTGTTGAATGAATGAATGGTGACAATCAATATTAAGAATAGCAACTCAATGGAAAAAAGGACAAAGATATAATATAACCACAAAAAATTAAAATAATCAGCAGTATATAAGATGAACTTTTGCCCACAAATTCAGTAAGATAATTTTTCACCTATCCTATTGGCAGAGATTTAAAAAAAAAAAAAAAAAAAACCACTAGTAACAGTCATTGTTTAATGTGGGGAAACCGGCCACTTCTAAATACTTTTTGTGGGTTTACCCATTATATAAATATTTACGTTATGCAAGTTTTTTCACTGTAGTATTTTTGTAATAGATTAAGAAACCAGAAACTATTTTACTGTGATCAGTAAGAGACTAGCTAAATAAATTATAGTGTATTTATACAATGGTATATAAGCAACTATTTCTACTGACTTGCAGAAATTATCAATATGCTTTTAACTGAAACAAAGAAGGTATATAAAAATTTAAGAATAAAACAGTGTATGGAGGTGCCTGGGTGGCTCAGTCGTTAAGCGTCTGCCTTTGGCTCAGGTCATGATCCCAGCGTCCTGGAATTAAGCCCTGCATTGGGCTCCCTGCTCAGTGGGGAGCCTGCTTCTCCCTCTCCCGCTCCCTCTGCTTGTACTCCCTTTCTCGGTGTCTATATCAAATAAATAAAATCTTTAAAAAAAAAAAAAAACACAGTGTATGTTTAAGAGTAATATACAACACATAGTGATTTCTTTTGAAGGGCAGGACTCCTACTTTCTGCATTATATTTTTATGTATTATCCAGCTATTTTAAAACAAACATATAATTTCTAATAAAAAAAAACAAAATACAAATGGGTTTATATAAATATTTGCAATAATTCACTGTTTAAATTTCATTTTAAAAAGTCCATTCATAATAAAATGGATAAATTAGAATTTAATGAGGAGCTGTCTTTTCAAGTTTCACTTCTGGTATTAAAAAAGAGCAAATTTTAGAAATGTTGTGGAAGTTCATATTTTACATTATTCTTGCCCAAATGTTTTTCTTATTTCCCTTCTAAGAAGGACTGAGTAATTATCATGCATCCAACTAACTTCTCAAACGTCTTCCCGCAGACACAGAAAAACTGCCCCAAGTTACCATGTTCCCTGGCCTGGCTGACTGCTTGGAGACAATTAACATCCTGAATTGTTAAGTTCAGCACTATTTCAGGTAGCCTTTAGGTTCCATGGAACATATATCCTAGGAAGACAGGGAGGGAAAAAAATCGTAAGGGACTACAGCACTGTAGCCTGGCTATCTATCTGCCACCTACTGGCTAGGAGCTGTTTGCTTATTACAACTTTAACCATGTCCACACTGCTTTTGTAAGCCATATTCACTTGGGTAAACATTCTAGTTAGCACAGTGACATTCTGAGATTTAGAATATTAAATCTGTAAATCTGTCATTTGATTCTTGAATAGTAATTTCTGTATTGTCTGTGGTAGGGTTTTAATGCCAGGTTGGCATTAAGCATCTGAATGAGTCAACCAATGTGTTTTGAGACTGAATGGCTATTTCTAGAAGATATTACACAATTATCTTATGTCAAATAAAAATTTGTTTACCAGATATCTGCAACCTCCTCCAACCCAAAGATCTTATACTTACCTTCACTGGAAGGTTTAAGATGTGACAGTCTTAACAGATCTTTGTGAGACCAGCCATTTCTTTGTTTATATTTTGTAACTGCCAGAGCAAGGGCCATGCCCCCCTTTTCATTGTACCAGTCTGCTATAGCCTTCCGGAGGGCACGACCCCACATGCCACATTTCATGCTTTCCTTCAGATCTTTCTTAAACTGGATAAAAGTAAAGAGGTGTGTAGGAATGCGACAAACTTCAGAAACAGCTTTAAATGCTGCTTGTTTTGTGCTTATGTCGGAACACTGAGAACAAATGGCAAGTGCAAACAGCATAGGCTCTTGCTTTGCGGTTCTGCCTTCTTGACTAAATGACTTTATCTCCTGGATCACTTCACATCCTCTTCCATCTTCAATCAGTCTAATTAAAGCTTCAGCATTTTCAAGGCCCAACTTCTGTTCTTTGATATAGTAAGTCCCACCTTCAGAACCAAAACATAAGAACCGGTGTAGTCGATTCATATCAGTAACTTGCCATACATATCCATCTTCAGAATTGGTTATCTGTTTCTCATTCAGTGGTTGCATTTGGTTGACTGATTCCTCCATTTTTCTTTTAGGAAACCTATAAAAAGCAAAAAAGCAAAATGTTATTATAGCTAGAAAGAACAGCAAAATTATAAAAAGGAAGACATTTTTATTTCTGAAAACATTAACCTATGCTTTTTGAAATCTGCTACAAAACCTTTGATTTTTAAGAAAGATTTATTTATTTATTTATTTATTTATGTATTTGAGAGAGAGAACTAGCGCCCTCCCCACCCCACCCCCTTGCACTCGCAGGGGAGAGGGACAGAGGGACAGAGGGAGAGGAGGTCTCCCCATTGAGCGCGGGGCCTGCCACTCAGGGCTGGATCTCAGGACTCGGGAGATCTGAGTCTGAGCTGAAGTCAGATACCTAATGGACTGAGCCACCCAGGTGTCCCTATTACACAATCTTTTAACTTAAAGAGTATTTTTTAAACTCATCAAGTGGTAGCATGATAACCAGAAGCAACAACTAGGTTACATTTTTGAGGTATAGTTCCTTGCTTCAGAGACTAAGCAGGCAGCTCAGCATCAGGTCTGGAGGCCTTAGAAAGAGAATAAAAGGGGTAGGGAGGGCAGCTGTGGTAGCTGAGGCTAAAAAGATCTTTCTTCCTTTACTCTCAGAATAACTGTGTACACAGTTTTGGTAATGTATGCAACATCCATTCCTTCCCTCCCCCTTTTCCCAGGCAGTAAACTCCTTCAAGGGAGGCTAGCCATTTCTCCAGTCCTAAGGGATGAATGTGTTTGTCCCTGTGACACGTACAGGTAAGGGCATACAACTGGCTACCATGACATGATTAAGTCTACAGAGAATACTTCTGAGGTTTTCTTCACTCTTAAAAGTGGGTTTAGGCTCTTAAAAAGGAATGCTCCCTTTCTACCTTCAGACATTCATTTATAAGTGATGCTTGGAGTGGTGGCCTAGAGCAATGGGGAAGTCAGTTTAAGAAAACACACTAATTTACAAGGATGGTAGAACTGAAAAAAAATTTTAGAAACGAATCTGGGTTTCTGGTATCATTGAGCTACCTGGCAGTGCCTCAGTTACAAGTTTCATAATATATCACAAATGTATCCTAATTATTGTTTAAGCCTTTTATAAGTTTTGAGAGCATGGTTGAGAGCATCATAACTGATTAAAATCCTATCAACTATGCTCATTTATAGCTTATGTGATCTGTAATTACCTGTACTTTCCTCCTCCCATTATTGCTAAAGCTACTAGAACTAGCTGCACAACAGCAATGTCCTTTTTTATTGTCCTAATGGAGCAACCACAACTGTCCACTACTTTATCAGTCCACTGCTACTCTTACTACAGTAGAGCTGCTTATCCAGGTGCCCAAGTCTCCTGGCTATACCATTAAAGTGCACTGCACTAGGCTTCTCCCCATGACAAACAAAACAATACAAACAACAACAAAAACTTAACCAGCATTTACTGCATATTATGTGTAAGACATTAAAGAGATTCCTGTTCAATTAAAATGATTTTTTTTAAAGTACCCCCCCCCCGTTTTTCTTGCCCTTAGAAAAGCCATATTCTGGTTTTTCATCTAGAAAATGGTTTTAGATGGCTCAGTGGGTTAAATAAAGCATCTGCCTTTGGCTCAGGTCATGATTATGATACCAGGGTCCTAGAATTGAGCCAGTGGGGCGCCTGCTTCCCTTCCTCTCTCTCTGCCTGCCTCTGCCTGGTTGTGATCTCAGTCAAATAAATAAATAAAATCTTAAAAAAAAAAAAAAAGAAAAAGAAAAAAGAAAAACCATATTCTGTTGGTGAGGTAGAAATATATAGATATAAAAAGCAAACTGTATATAAGCACTCTAATAAAAAAGTACTGTGAGTCAGCAGAGGAGAATGAAATGCTGCCTCAGTAATACAAGTAGACTTGTGCAGAGAAGGCAAACTGAGAAACTGGTATATTAACCTTGGGGGAATGTGTTCCAGAAAGGGATTTCTGAAATCTTGCTGTCTTTACATTTTAGGAAAAGAACTAAGTATACTGGCATAGCTATAAAGAAATGATAGATAAGGCAGCAGCTTAAAGAGCAACACAAGGTAAAAGAAATTTTGTTTTGAGGATGATACAAGTTTGAACATATTTATATGTTGTGGGTAAGCCTTAAGATGGAATCCTGGTGAATATTAATAACTCAGAGCTAGGGAAAGGGGAGCCTGGGTGGCTCAGTTGGTTGGATGTCTGCCTTCAGCTCAGGTCATGGTCTCGGGGTCCTGGGATGGAGCGCCACATCCTGCTCCCTGCTTAGCAGAGTCTGCTGCTTCTTCCCTGCTGCTCCTGTTCTCTCCTTCTTTCTCAAAAATAAAAAATAAAATCTTAAAAAAAAAAAAAAAAAGAGCTAGGGAGAAGAGGCCCTTCAAAGAAGAGAGAGAAAGAGGGGTGCATAGCAGAACAGCAGTATCATGGACCATAGGGAAAAGGATTTCAAGGAGTCAGGGCTGGCAATGTCAAATGGTCAGAGATTAAGTAAAATAATTTGGGAAAAATGGCCACTGGATGTAGCAAACAGTAGTGATGAGGAAGGGCACTGTAGTAGAGTTCTGAAAGAAAGAGCCTGATTATGGTGAGATCAGGAGTATGCAATGAGGGAGACTTCACAGGTGGACTACTCTTTTGCAGAAAGGGATGGTAACAGAGAAGATGAGAACACAAAGAAAAATCTTTTTATCTTTCTAGATGAGAGGACACTGAGGCTGAGGTTGAATGATTCAAACTGGAGAGTGGAAGGCAGCAGAGAAAGGATAGAACTGAGGGAATGAGATCACTAAAGGTGGAACAGAATCCAGGTTGAGGCTGGCCAATTGACAGCAAAAGAGATCCCTCCTTCAGTAAGGGTGAAGAGGGGTTGGAGAAAAGAGAGACCGTAAGGAAATTAAGGAAGTTCCCAATGTGGGTAGTGTGGTATGCAAGGGAGCAATGGGGTTGGGTCTCAGAATGAGAATGGTGTGGGTATAAATGCATGGGAGAATGCAGAGCCTCACATTTTGAAAGTGACTGAGGAGGAGAGGGATAAATTGAATTGGGTTGGAAATAATCAGCATCATATTTCAAATAAAGCTCTGGTGTAAAGTAGTCAATGTTAGGGCAGGCCTAGACCTCAGGTGTTAAAGTGTAATGATCATATTATATTAGTCATTAGGGACTGATTTATAGCTACCCAGTGCAGTATAGGCAGAAAGTCCTCGTGCAACAGATGATGCTTCTGCTATTTATTCTTACCCTTTTCAATATGGTTTTTTATCTGCCTTTTAATAAAAAAAACTTCGAGAATAACATGCTTCTCAAAGACGGACTACTTAATTGCTAATTCCAGTAGAAAATTTTCTATTATTTTGACCTTTTTACTGCATTTGGGATTGCTAGCTTCATCTCTAAGCTTTTACAAAAATACCCTTAGTTGGTACTTTATCTGCTTTATCTGGCTATTCCTGCTTATTAGTTATATTTGTTAGAAGAATAATACTGAAATGATACTTAATATCAGGTTATGCTAATACAACAGTTTTCCTGACCAAAACCCAAGAGGTGTGATTTAAATATCCCTATCCAAATCTCAAAATTCCCTCCCCTCCAAATTCTTTCCCTTGTTATTATTTTTTGTGAGTATGTGTCTAGCTAATATTAGTTCCCTTAAGAGCAGGTATCTGGTTTAGTTTTGTATCCCTTCTCTGAACCTAGAACACCACTTCAGTAATACATACTTGAGGATAACCTTGGATCCAGTCCCCCACATTGGGCTCTCTGCTCTGCGGGGAGCCTGCTTCCTCCTCTCCCTGCCTGCCTCTCTGCCTACTTGTGATCTCTGTCAAATAAATAAATAAAATATAAAAAAAAAAAGAAGACTCAATGTGTGGAATTAATAATGTAATTGAAGCCTTTAAGATAAATTCTGTAATCAGGAAAAAATGTACTATATGCAGGTAGTGGATATACAATCAAGAAAAATAAAACATGAAAAAGTTACAGAGGAAGTAATGAGTCCAGAGTAAAAACGTCTTCTGAGCAGAACAGTATCTCTTTGTAAGTTTTTCTAATATATTTAATATTAGGTATTCAAGCTATCTTTTGTTGAGCAAGAAGAAAAATGAACTTTTAAATCAAGGGTAGATGCTTAAGAGCTATCCCTAAATGTAATCCTTGTAATCTCTGTTGTAAGAAATGTAGTTACTTACTCATTGCCTCATCAAAGGAATCTTACCCTTGCATATGTTAATGACAACCACTAAGACCTACCCTTTCAGCATTTTTGCAGGAAAAAATTCTCAGCTATTCACATGCTTCTGTGACTATTCTTTCCAGGATGCAACTTAGAACAGTGTGACAGATCACATGAATGGCCCCTTTACTTGTTTGTGCAAATTTACCAGAATCAAATTTGTAAAGTGAAATATGAAAAACAGAATGGCAGTAGTTCTAAGCTACTTTCCTTGTCCCTCAGCGCTGATACATAAATTAACTTTAAAATTGGCTGGGTGGTAAGACGGTGGTCTAATAAAAGAGTATCTAGTTTTTGTGCCGGTTTCTTGGCAGGGCTTCAAAAATCCTTGGAATTTCCAGATTGATAGTCTTTGTTATGCTAATATGGTGATTCACTCTGGGCTTCAGGATGGGGGCTGGTCACCGGAAAGACTCAGCATTTGATTAAAGAGTTGGAATTTTGGGCCAGGTCAAACTCCCAGGGGGGGTGTTAGGGCCCAAGATTGGGCTCAACCACAAAGTCAACGAATCATAATCATGCCTCCTAATAAAATCCCTTATACAAACTCAGAACATCAAAGTTCAGTAGCGCTTCCTAACTGGTTAACAAATTGATGTCCTGGGAGTATGAACTGCCAGGATTCCACACGAAGGGTATTCCCTCTCCTGCCTCTAGACTTTGGACTGTATTTGACTTCGTTTTGCTGTTCCTGAGTCATATCCTTTATATTAAAACTATAATCATAAGGATAGTGCTTTTAGTGAGTTATGTGAGTCATTCCAGTGAATTATCGACCCTGAGGGGTTGCGGGAAGACCTCAATTTGTAGTTGGTTGCAGAGACTAGGGACCTACTTGTACTGGTGCCTGAAGTAAGGGTAGTCTTGTTGGGGATCTTGCCTTTTAACTTGTGGGATCTGAAGCTAACTGTGGAACTGAACCGAACTGCAGGACAGAGTTTGGGTCAGAGAACTGATCTCAAAGAGACAGCACAGGCAAAAGTGACAAAAGAAAAAAAAAAGATAAACTGAACTTCATCAAAATTTAAAGCTTGTGTTTCAAACGATACCACCAAGAATGTGAAAAGAGATCCCATGGAATGGGAGAAAATACTTGCAAATCATACCATAAGGAACTGATATCTAGAATATATAAAAAACTCATAATTCAATAATAAGATAATAACCCAATTAAAAAATAGACAAAGCATCTGAGCAGGCACTTCTTCAAAGATATACAAATGGCCAGTAAATATATAAAAAGATGCTGAAAATCAGTACTCACTGATGTGGAGAATAAAGGAGAAAGAAATATAGAAAAAATTACATTTCCTTGGCAGCCCATTGACAAGTACTTGGGACAGGCAGAGTGAACTTTATCAAGGAGCATAGGTAGCTGCCTCAATGTTAATACCTAGCCCAACCTCCAGGATCCTATCACAATCCTTTGGAAAATTTCCTTTCTGTATCCCCCTACCCCCAAATATATGTTAGCAATCATTCCAAGCATAGGGTCTCCTGATATACTTCTGAGTCTCATAACTAAGGTTTTATTAGACAGTAGTAAATGACCTTTTCCTAACAGCTAGCCCCTCAAAGTCCTGGAAACTTTGCTTTCAAATTCCTTGGAGACTAATGCTATCCCTAACATCTTCCCAATTTGAAAGTATATAATCAGCCAGTCTTCAAAACTCTGGAGCAGTTCTTTCTGCCAACGGGTCTTGTTCCTATGGTTTAATAAAACCACCCTTTCTGCACTGAAGACATCTCAAGAATTTTTTCTTGACTGCTCCTGAACCCCAAAAGTTACATCACTCATCAGGGAAATGCAAATCAAAACTGAAATGAGACACCACCTAACAATCACTAGGATGGCTACAATGAAAATGACGATAGTTAAGTGTTAGGTAAGGATCTAGAGAGATTAGAACCCTCATACATTGCTAGTAGTAATGTAAAATGATGGATCATATGGTAACTTTATATTTGACCTTTTGAAGAACTACCAGACTGTTCTCCAAAGTGGTAAGGGGTTTCTTTTTGGGGGTGGTGAAGATGTTCTGAAATTAGACAGTCGTGATGGTTACACTGAGATAGGGAAACTGAAGGGACTCCATGAAGGGCTGCTTTTTTGTTCCCTTTTTGGCTTCTAATCTTGCCAGGACCTGTAACCCGACCTTACTTACACATGTGTGCCTTATACTTATGTATGCCTCTCCCCTTCTTGTAAGGGTCCAGGAGTTAATGATTTCTTTGGAGTATCCCAGCACAATCGATAAGAGTGACAGGGCAAGCTTGTCATGTACATTTTGCAGACCAGGCTGTAGATACCCTGACACCAAGCCTTCTGGCATAAGTGACTTAAGGAGGACACCTGAGTCCTCATCCTTGTTTTGACCAGTTTCTGGATGCCTAAGAAGACATGCACACCAGATCGCAATCCTCAATAAAAACCCCACACTCCAAGCAAAACAGACTCACTCTCCTTTCCTTTTGAAGTCTCTCAGATACTATGTCTCTATCTGTCCTCTCTATATATCTTCAATAAACTCTACTCTCACTTCCTCTCAGATGGTGTTTGATTTCTATCCTTTGTAAAGCCAAACACCCTCTTGGCTGGTCCTGTAGGACTCCTTCTAGATCCATGGACCCAGTCTGCCTACATCAACACAAGTCTGTGAGTATACTAAAAGTCACTGCAGGGCATACTTTAAAATAGCGAATTTCATGACATAGGAATTCTATCTCAAAAATCTGTCATTAAAAATAATGAAAACTAAAAATTGACTATATTAAAATATACCTGGTAAGTTATATAAATAGACATTCAAATGATATTTAACCCTGTACTTTTTTTTTTTTTTTTAAAGATTTTATATATTTAATTGACAGAGGGAGACAGTGAGAGAGGAAACACAAGCAGGGGAGTGGGAGAGGGGGAGAAGCAAGTTTCCCACTGAGCAGGGAGCGGGATGTGGGGCTCAATCCCAGGAACTCAGGATCATGACCCGAGCTGAGGGTAGTCACCCAAACGACTGAGCCACCCAGGCGCCCCTTAACCCTGTATTTTTATATTTGTCTTTAGAAAGCAACTTGAGATACACACAGATAGATACAGGACTTTAATTTTCCCTTTCCCCAACTCCCATCATCTCCCTCTTCAAAGCTTAAGCTCCACTGTCAGTGATTTAGAAGGCAGTTTGGGCAGTGAATGAGGTCAGAGCCTGGTCATCAATTAATCCACTCCTGAATAATCAAGTGTTGTAAATCCAGATTAACAGCAACTACAAAAAAAGATAGTTAATTCTTTGGGTTGGCCTGTCCTATCCAGTGCTCTTAAAGCACACTACTCCAAAGACTTTAATAGAGCTAAAGTTGTTTTAAACTTCAGTAAATTAAAATTTACGGAAGAATTAAATAGATGACAGAATTTTTAAAGGTATGGCCACGATGTGAAATTGGTTGTGGCCATTTTATACAATGCCCACTTCTCTCTTAATATTGAATGCAAAAACCAGTGAATGCCAGTAATTAATACACAATATGTAATTGCACTTCTTTCTGCTTTGTGTTCATTAGAACATTTATAGTTATCTTTTAAGAGTACTAATACTCTTTCTTGGGTTCCTGTTTTTCTTTGAATGTACACATCTGAGTATCTTTCCAAAGTCTCTTGATCATTTGTTATTTGGAAAATGCTTTTATCCCAAGAGGTCAAACAGGTTTTGCAGCTTAATCCTTTCTAAATGAAGTCAAAGCTGATACACATCTATGAGTGTGCAAGAAAATTTAAAAGAAACCATACTGCAAAAACTGGGGCCACAAATGAAAATAAATTCATCATTCAGACTGGTAGTGTATCTGAGCTGATCAAGTCAAATGATGCAATAAAAAGTGGTGAGGAACTGGGGCAAACTTGACAGCATGCCATTCTGAAGCCACACACTTTCAGCCAACTGGTTGCTATGTAGTAGGGGCCTTTTATTACCAAATCTTCTCATTTTTCTCAAAGACCCAGAAATCTGGATTTTCATGTGAAGTTGGGATTAAATGTTAACACAACTGAAGAAATTTTAACCCTCCTTTCTGCTACTTCTTGGTTATGTCAAGGGCTAAATTTTCAGTTTGGTCTTTTTACAACAGGCACTATGTTGAGCTGGACATCAAATGTTAGTTACGAGTACTTATTCAGCACAGAAAACCCTTTCAAGTTCACAGTAGTACTATAGGCTAAAATATACCACAAATTATCACAAACAGCTTTTGGGCTCCAATGACACTCATTCTAGGAATGGTTTATTAAGGAAACAAAGCTATTCTTGTGCCTCACAAACTTTTCCATTTAGTATACTTAACGGAACAGATAATGAACAGAAATCCATGCCCCCCAACCAGTCTCCTCTTTTTATTTTGAAACTTCAAGACAGTTACGTCTGAATAAATTAAAAAAAAAAAATCAAACACCTGAGACAAACTTTCATTTCTACTCCATAATACAGCCATGCTTTTTTTTTTTCTTTTTATAGTAATCTCTTCGCCCAATGTGGGGCTCAAACCTACAATTCAGAAATCAAGAGCTGCATGCTTTACCGACTGAGCCAGCCACCCGCCCCATAGCCATGCTTGTTTTAATATAAAAACTGTCCTGTTGTTTCTCTCAGTAATATTTGTCATGCTTATTTTGTGGCTTCACATAGTCCATAACACAATGCTCGCTAACTCCGAGGTACAGGTCACCTGTTTGAGGAGCAAGGAATCAGTTTTGTCTGCTAAAGTATTTTTCTCTGGAATCCAAAGGCCTTTCTTGGAATTCAGAGCTTTCAGGAGGGATGCATAAATAAACATACTCCTGAAGATTTTAATCGTAAGACCAGCATTCTGCGATAAGCCTTCTGAATGAGGGCAGTTTCACGGTTTAGCGAAAATAGGCATTTTTGGGTTAACTCATTTAATCTCAGAAACATTACAAATGCTTTTAGAATAAAACACGACGTTTTTCAACCTCCTTTTCTTTGAGGCATCGCATCCCCTTACACTTGTCTATCATCCCCACGAACTACAGAATTTCTCCTCTTGTCATTCCCTCGAGGATAAATTCGCCTTCTGTCTTCCCACAAAGATCCCTCTTTCCAAGCCCCAAATCCCGGGCAACGCCTCTCCGCGCAGAAGCCGCGGGAAGAGGAGGAGGAAGAGGAGGAGTAAAGCTAAAGCAGGCCCTCCGGACGCTGGCCTGTGGAACGCTATGGAAGCACAAGACGGAGCGATCCCGGGTTTGGGAAGGGCCCACCCTCAGAAGCGTCCCAGCCGGGCCAACCGAGGTTGTGCCCTCAGGGAAGCTGGTTCCGCTATCCAGCCACGGCAGGACTCAGAGGCAGGGCGGGGGAGAACGATGGTTTTGCCAAGCGTTTGCTCCGGCCTCAGCCTCTGGGATGCTGGATGACGGACATGGAGGACCAGCCAAACCCTGCGCGTCCCCGGGTCTGCTCAGACCGCACAAAGGGCCCCAGCCGGCCTCCCGCAGTTCCTCACCTGTGCTTGGCGGCCGACCCTCCGAACCCACAGCGCCACCGGGAGAAGCCCTGCGCTTCAAGAGAGACGACAAGAAGATGCTACAAGCCCCACGGGCGTTATCTGCTCCAACTCCACCGCCGCCGGGAACTCCAGGTTAGGCTCCGGGGAACGAGCCCCGCCCCTCTCCTTTTGCCCCGCCCCCGACTGGCGAGGATCCCGGATGTTGCCTCCTACGGCGCGCTGAATCCCCGCCCTTTCTTCTTAAGCCCCGGCCCCTTCCGAATCCGCTACGGGTCCTGCACGGCCTAGGAAGAGTTTCGCTGTCTCCTGGGTGGCTAGAGCGTCCTCCTGCGCTCTGTCGCGCTGCAGGTGACGGAGCCCGGAGGCTGTCGGGAAGTAGGCGGGGTGACGTGGGGTTGACGAGCTCAGCGGCGGGTTTGCCGAGATCAGTGGCTGGCTGCAGCTGGTGCGGGGGGCGGCCGGTTCCTGAGGTGGAGCGGGGCGGTGTGTGGCCGGGGCCATGACGGGCAATGCTGGGGAGTGGTGCCTCATGGAAAGCGACCCCGGGGTCTTCACCGAGCTCATTAAAGGATTCGGTGAGAGACAAGGGACCGTCCTGGGCCGGGGGTCACGGGAGGAGGCCCAAGCTGGGCATGGAGTGGTTCTCTGCGGCCACCGCCGCCTTGCGTCCGAAGGGAGGAGATTCCAGAAGCCTGCATCGCGGAGGTCTCTCGTCCCCTCCTCAGTCTTGGGCAGTCGCGTTTCCGCACTAATTTGAGAGCTTCATCACGAGGGCAGGGATCCTGTCTGTCTGTGCACTGTCGTATCCTCAGGACTCGGCGCTCAATTACTTGTTAATTGACTTGAGCGCTGCTCGCCCCCGCCTTTCACGCATGTATGTTTCCCTTTCCACCGTCGCTTCTCTGGGGAGCGTTCCCTTTACCCGGCAGGTGTGCCTAGATGCACGTTCTCAGGCCATCAGTCTTGCAGGAAAAGCTAGGGTGTACCTCCTCGACGGTGGGGTGTGTATGGCCCAAGCCTTGCAGGAACCCGAGATTCTGGTTACTCAAAGTAGAACACCTTGAGTGTGTGAGTAGCTCTGCGGACGTTCACACACGCTGACTGCAGGGGACTGACAAGCCACTTGGCTAGTTCTTTTCCCGGCTCGTTTTTTGGCTTCCGGTAAAGTGTGGTTTCTTGAGCTAGTGCTCTAGACTAGAGGCCGCATGCTTTCCTCAGGGTTTTTTTTTTTTTTTTTTTTTCTGACCATGTTTCTTGTCTTACATCCTAAATAGTCCGCATATTTGACTTTTTATCCTTTTGTGTCCATCTTCCCATTCTTTTCTTTGGGCAGTAACTTTATTTAATTGCTACATTTCTTCAAGTATTATTAATTCTAGCTATTATGTTAAAACTTGTACTCGGGATAAAAACTAAACTTTGATATAGATACTGTCTATTGTACATAGATGACTATTTGGAATATAATTTATCAAGCATGTGTTGTTTACCTACTGTATCTCAGGCACACTGGTATGGCTTGGGAATTTTCAGTGTGAATAAACCATGACTGCTCTTATAAAGATCTGACCCTCAAACTAATATTGTTTTTTAATTGCTATGTTAGAGCATATACAAAATGTTATGGGAACACAGGTCATGGAAGAGCAAAGAAAAAACATAAACTGTAGTAATGTTAAAGTATATGCCACAGGAAACAGCTAGCAAAGTGACAAAAAAACAATGTAACAGTCAAGAGAACTGTTTGAATCTGAAGCTGAAAGGTAAACTGAGGCCAGATTGTATGCTGAGTTGTATAGTTTGGATTGCCCTGTAGTCACTGGGGACTTAACTGCCAAAGATATTTGAATGCCGAAATGACATTTTTATAATTAAAAAAGGTTTACTATGTGTAGTGTGCAGGGTGGAGTGGTATGAAGGGAGAGAAGCTAGCAGTTTCTTAAAATGGTTGGAGTCAGGTGAGTAGCTTGACCTAAAGTTATGGGTTAAAGAGGAGGAGGTAGTTGCAGTAATTTTGCTCCATTTAAATCAACAGGACTACTGACCGGATGTAGGGGAAAGGGTGAAAATGACTCCATGGATTCTAGCTTGAGTGGCTGATGAAGCTTGATGAACAAGCTTGATGGACAAGAAAACGAATTCATTTTTGAATAATGAGTTTGAGATGTCTGCAGGTTTACCTTCAAAACCTTAACTATTACGACATATTAAAGTTAACATTAAGAAATAGTGTATTAAGCAAGTTTGTTTTTAAATCCACTCCATTAACAGCTATTGCTTCAGTCCCATATGTATAGAAAACTTACAACTGAAAATGATTAAAAGTCATGCATTAGAGTGATATGTAAATGCATCTTCTGTACTGGCACATATGAAAAGTGAAGAAATTGCTATTAATAGATTGGCTACCTTAGCAGAAAAACTTTGAAAAAAGTTAAATGATGCAAATTGTGTATCATCATCAGATACCTCAAAGAGAAAATCAGTTTATTCCAATCATTTCCTTTTTTTCCTCTTATCTAATTCATAGATTTAAAAAGCTTTTTGAAGTTCTTTTTTTAAAAGTAGATAATCTTATTGTGTTATGAAAGCTATTTGTCAGTTTATTTTGAAAGTTTCTTCACTGGAAGAATTGTGGAGTCAGTGAATATATAAATACAAATTTTAGTGAAATATAACATCATGGTAAAACAATATTCTTTTTTTGTTTTTTTTTTAATTTGTTTATTTGAGAGCGTTCTCCAGCATGTGTGCAGGTATGGGGGGGGGCAGGAGAGAGAGAATCCTCAAGCAGACTCCTCACTGAGCACAGAACCCCATACAAATGCAGGGCTCAATCTCACGAGCACAAGATACTGACCTGAGCCGAAACCAAGAGTGGGCCACTTAACCAGCTGAGCCACCCAAGCACCCCGAAAAACAAAGTTCTTATTAAGAAACTGATGGAGTACAAGCAGAATTCACAGTTTTAACTGGTGCGGTACATACATAATTCATAAATGCACCAGAATAGTGATGGTCTACTGATTAAAAACAGAAGCTGTAAACTTCCGTTTCCAGCCAAAATGGAATAACAGGGACTACATTTACTTTTCCTACAACAAATCAATGACCCCAACTTCCATTTCAAGAACCTAGAAAATGAAGAGCAAATGAAACCTGAAGTAAGCAGATGAAAGGAAATACTACAGATCAGAGTTGAAATTAGTGAAACAAAAAAGAAAAATGATGGAGGAAATCAATGAAACTAAAGCTGGTTTCTCAAAGATCAATGAAATGGATAAACCTCTCGTCAGCCTTATCAGAAAAAGAAGAGCAGGGGGCTCTTGGCTGGCTCCGTTGGTAGAGCATGTGACTCTTGATCTTGGCTTTGTAAGTTTGACCCCCATGTTAGGTGTAGAGACTGTTTAGAAATAAAATCTTAAAAAAAAAAAAAAAAAAAGAGGAGACACAAATGACCAATATTAGGAGTCAGAGAGAGGATACTGCTATAGATTTTATAGATTAAAAAGATAATGGAGTATTCTAAACATCATTATGCCAATAATTTGACAACTTGGATGAAATGTATAAAGACATTTTTTTTGTCTTCTTTAAAGACAAAAATTACCAAGCTCAAACAAGAATAACCAGTATAGCCTTACATTTACCAAATGAACTAAAATTGTAACTTAAAATCTTGCCACAATGAAAACTAGCCAAAATTTCTTTGCTGATAAATTATTTCAAATACTTCAGGATTAAGTAATACCAATTCTACACAAACTTTTCCCTAAAAAAACGGAGAAGGAATATTTCCCATCTCATTCATTGAGGGCCATCATTACCCTAACTCCCAATCCAAAGACATTATAAGAAAAGTAAACTATAGACCTAACTCCATCATCAACATAAATGCAAAAATTCTGAACAAAATATTAGGAAATTAAAGCTAATAATATATTAAGTGGACAATATATCATGCTTGACTGGGATTTATCCTGGGAATTCAGTGTTGGTTTAACATTTGAGATTCAGTGTGATTTACCATATTAACAAGCTAAATAAGAACTATATGATTATCTCAATAGACAACAAAAAGCATTTGATAAAATCTAATGTCTGTTAAGAAATATGTGCTATTATATTTTACTGTTGGCCAGCCAATGAGTTAGTCTGGCTCTGTTTTATAAAAGATTGTATTGATATATTGATAAAGAGAGAAAGAATTCTGTTACTGTTGGCACAGTAAGCAGCTGGAGATTCATGTTTGCATTGGTTCCCTTGTCCTACAGGTCCATGGGAGTCAAGATGGATCCAGGTGGATGTTGCACGCATGGATCTTTGTGATAGTTAAGGAACCCTGAGCTTAGGGGACTTTTAATTAAAGAGGTTGCTAACAAACCTGATCAACCTTTACCTTTAGGAATATTCTATGGACAGAAAATATGTCTTATCTCTGCACCAGGGGGAGACACTGTCTCTGTCTTATGTCTGTTTATCAAAATAACGTCCTTGAAAAGATAGTCCAGAACTTTCAGAAGACAAGCAGAAACAGGAGAAACTCATTGAAAGTTGTCTCCCAACAAAATCCATTCTTGTTTTCTATATCAAACTTGCCTTTCCCTCAGCTGCTCTGATTAATCTGACCTGACCCATAGGTACCAAGTCTGTTTATCTCTTGTAGTGTTTACATTAGAAAGCAGGTGGCTTTCACCTTAAATTTTTGTATTGACTTTTTGTCTTGTCTTAAGGCATGAACTTAGGTATATAGTGATTTTAGTGATTGCATGGACTCCTCCTGGGCTTGCAAGGAAGACGTCTTGCAGAATTCCATCATCCGCAACTCTGACGCAGGAGTTGAGACAAATCTGAATGACTTTGGGGGCCAATATAGAGTTGCCTTGCCAAGAAGGTCAGTTATGATTTCTCTTGAGGTACATGTTACCTTGTTTTGAGGAGAGAGGCAAGTTAATTCCTGGTTTCACACAAAAAGTAATGGTATACTTATGAGAGTGCACCTGGTGCCCCTAGAAACAAGTATTGCTTATAATTGTTGGGGCCCCCAAAATAGAACCCTCTCATTAGGAATACAAATCAACAGCTTTCCAACTTGAGGTTCCCAAATAGCTGAGTCTAGTCCTTGTTTTTGAAGTGCTTGCTTGAGTGCCCACAATCCAGTTTTTCCTATTTGGTCACATCACTAACTAAATAACATGGAATAACATGATTAGTGAAGATACTTGGTGCTATTTTTTGGTAGGAGGTACAGAAGCGGGGGCCATGCCTTTACTTCTGGTAGACTTGGTGAGGTTGGGGGAATGACAGATTGTGAAAACTGTTGGAGGATAGCATTAAATTTAAATTTAAGGCACTGGCGACAGGGAGGACCCTACCATGGTTTTTTTCTTGGGGAGAAATGTGCCACATATTTTTAAGAGAGCTATTTCTTGAAATTAGTTTTTGAATAGAACTGTTTTATGAAGCCACCAGTATCATAATGCAAATGTATTTGTCAGTACATAAATATTTCAAACATATTTTAATTTTAGTACTTCCTTTCACTTCAGAGTAGTGTGTTCTGGTTTGGATGACAGATTCTATGGCCAGGCTGTTTAAGACCCAGTTCAATTATCCATGGAAAGTGTCTCTGATCAGCAAAGACAGCGGTGGTCTCTCCTACCTCATAACTTTGAGTGTATCTTTCATATGTAAATTCGCTTCATTGTCTTTGAATTGTATATACTTGTTTTCTACTAGTGATGAAATCCTTTCTCCTTTCCTCCCTCCTTCCTTCTTTCCTGCCTGTCTTACTTTCTTTCATTTACCCCCAGTGTGGGACTGAAATTTAGGACTCTGAGATAAAGAGTCAGAGGATCTATTGACTGAGCCCCCAGGGGTCCCCCTAGTTGTGATAGTATTAAGTGTCGTGACAATAGTTTATTATTTTCTGTCCTTGCCAGGACCTAGTACCATGCTTGGCACCTAAAAGGTATTTGTGAAATACCAGCATTTTGTTAACTTTTTAAAGCTTTTCCCACCCTGCCCCCATCTTTTTACTTAACATATGTCTGGAAGTTTGCATTAGGGGATTCTTTATATTTAGTGTTAATAATGTATACCTTACAAGAACTGTGTGGATTGGATGAAGCAGAGGAGTACCCTTATTTTATACACAAGGAAAGTGAGGCTCAAAGACATTGTGTTCTTGCTCAAGGTTAAGAATTTTAAGGTAGTGCTGGGATTGGAATCCAACTCTGTTGAATCACTGCTGCTTTTTTTTTTTTTTTTAAGATTTTATTTATTTATTTGACAGAGCTCACAAGCAGGCAGAGAGGCAGACAGAAAGAGAGGAGGAAGCAGGCTCCTCACAGAGCTGAGAGCCCGATGTGGGGCTCGATCCCAGGACCCCAGGATCATAACCTGAGCCGAAGGCAGAGGCTTAACCCATTGAGCCACCCAGGCGCCCCTACTGCTGCTTTCTTTTTCCTGTACCATACGTTATTTGAAATCGAGTGTACATAAGGGAACTATTAGATACTCAATGTGTATAAGGCGATAGATACTAAGGGTTGAATATTATGTTTTCCTTATATAAAGAGACTGTGTGTGTTTAGCATAAGGTTTAAACAGGTGTCACCACTTGAAATTCACCCTGTGCAGAAGATTTTTGGGACACTTGTATTCAGTGGATTTTTGTTGTTTTAGTATGATACGTACAATGTTTTGATGTTTGGCCTTTTTACAGTTGATTTCTAATAGCAGTAACCAGTGTTAACAATTGCCTTAGTGTCCTTCCATGCCCTTTTTGACACTCAAAAATACAGGTTCACACTTACAAGGCTTTTTCCTCTAACTTCCTATATGTGAATGTCTAGCAGCATGTTTTCTACTACAGTCAATCTAGTAACTCTCCCTTGTACATACATCTTTTCATGCAGAGCGGGTACTTAGGGACGCCTGGGTGGCTCAGTAGGGTAAGCGTCTGCCTTTGCCTCAGGTCACGATCCCAGGGTTCTGGGATTGAGTACCACATAGGGCTTCTTGCTCAGCAGGGAGCCTGCTTCTGCCTCTGCCTGCTGTTCTGCCTCCTTGAGCTCGCTCTCTTTCTCGCTGACAAATAAAAAAAGTTCAAAAAAAAAAAAAAAGAGAGAGGATACTTAATAGATATTTGCTGAATAGAGCAAATTGAGTCTGAGATGGTATGAATGTCCAAAGTCATGTAGTTGGTTGGCTCAACTTTTTTTTTCTTTCTTTTTTTTTTTTTTTCAGGTACATCAAAGGCTTCTCTAGCTTTTACTTGAAAATAATCTGGAATATTAAAATATGTCCAGACTTTGGAACCAGATGAGGGTCTTATTAGTTTTTTGACATATACTAACTAGTGAATTTAGGCAAGACACTTAAGATCCCTAAACTTATGTATAATACTTGCCTTGCAGTGATAGGGGAAAATGCATTTAAAGCACTTTACAGATAGAAGACGCTGTAAATATGGCTGGTTTTTGTATTGAGATAATATTAGTTAATAGTAAACCCTTACAGTGTGCCAGGCACTGTATTAAATGTATCTCATGCATACTAAATTATCTCACTGATTCCTCATAACAACTCCATGAGTTTTGGGGGACAGAGAGGTTAAATGGTCATATAGCTAGTAAATGGAGGACCCGGGATTCAAACTCTGGCATTTTTGAAGCCTACCTCTTAACCAGTACACTGTTACTATGATACTTACCACTAGGACGGGGTTTCTCGACCTTGGCAATGTTGACTTTTTGGGCCAAATGATTCTTTACTGTTGGTAGCTGTCCTTTTCACTGTAGGATGTTTAGCGTTTCTGGCCTCTATCCATTAGATGCCAAGGCCTTCCCACTGATGACAATAGTAACAATAAAAATATCTCCAGACATTATAAAATCTTTCTCAGGCAGCAGGGGGAGGAGGGGCAGAGAGTGGGGGACAGAAAACATCACCTGATTGAGAAACACTATCCTAAGGAAGGGTATGTTTGGGGGACTCTGAGATAGTTGAAAATAAAATTATATTAAAAACAGTATAGAATTGGCATTTAGGAAAAGGGTCAGAACTAAACATATGATGTGAAAGTCAGTGTTAAATGGTAGTTATTTATTATGACTTAAAAAAAAGTGTATAGAAAAAAAAGAAGAGGGCCAAGGGAAGAACTAGGCAAATGGCAGTTGAATGAAAAGAGCAGATGCAGAAGAGGGAGAGATTGAGAGAGACTGAGAAGTCTGGGGTGGCGTTTCAGTGAAAAACTCTTGAAAATTCTTTAAATTATAAAAGTAATATACTCCCATTATAAATAACTAGGAAGTAGTGAAAGAAGTAAAAGGATTTGGCTGTGAACTTCATCAGTTTAACCATTTCATTTTATCTTGTCTCATTGTCCTAAATGTGCATTTTTTTCCAGTTAGTATTTTATTTAATGATGAAGGGAAAAAAATGAGTTACTTTGTTTTCTAAAGAAATAATTTCTTATATCAGGTTGCCGAGGAGCCCAAGTAGAAGAAATATGGAGTTTAGAGCCTGAGAATTTTGAAAAATTAAAGTAAGTATGATCTTAGTTGTGTTAAAAATAATATGTCTGTACTTTAAGCAGACTGTTTTCTGTTTATTTTACTTGGATTGCTTTAGATTGATTACATCATCTCCTTTAAGTCTTTCTTTGATCTTGTGAGATAGGTACTATTACTCTCATTTTATAACCCAGACCTGAGACTCATATATAAGTAACTTTTAAGCGATTAAAAAGTAAGTCTCTATAATTCCGTGTCAGAATTGGTTGATTGGTTGAGTTTTTACAATATTCACTTGTAAATCAATGGGGTTAGAACACAGGACACATTTTAACATTAAAAACGTGAGTAATAAGTTAATCTACAAAAGCATATTTAGTAGATAACCTATATTAATAGTAATTCAGAACTTGTCTATACATTATCACATTGCTTTTTGGGGTGGTTACAGTTTAGATTCCAAGTGTAGGTGCCAGGAAGTACCTTCCTTTTCCCCATCTTTCTGACTCAAATCACCTCTTTAAGACTCCCCTAACATCAATCTCCATGCCCGCAAGCATTGACCCTGTATTGTGAATAGAGGGCTAGAGGAATTTTCATTGGAGGGAGAATTCTTGGATTCTTGGAATGTGACAAGGAGTAGGCTTCTAGAGGGGAAATGGGGACTGTAGGGATATAGCTACTGTTTTTAATAGTAAAGAGATCATTTGCTTCTCCCTACTTTCCCCTTCCCCACAGAAAGAACAGTGACTTGAAATGAATTAAGGGATCAATTCTGGCTGAGTGATCAGGAAAGGTTAATTAAAAATGTGTCATTTGAACTGGCTTTAAAGGCTAAGAAAGGGTTTTGTTGTATGGAAGACAGTTATAAAAGACTGGAGAGAATCCTAAAGTGGTGATTTAATGTTTAATGGGCAACAAGAGTTCCTTTAGGGAAGTGGATGACTTAATTATGTATAAGATGATAGCATCCATTCATACTGCAGTTTGATGATTTTTCATGAATCCAACAATTATATAAAGGTGACTTAATATATTTTATAATATATATGCTATAAGCCATTTATCTATAAATATCCAATGTGAATTTTATTCAGATAGATTAGAATTTAGTCTACGGTTAACAGCTTCTTTTAGTTTTGCGATGTTCTTATTTTTAGTTTTTAGTGAAGTGATACAAGGTAGAAGTGCATAATCCAGATTTGAGAATAAACCTTTCATTTTCATTCTGTTTTATCTAATGTAATTTTAAGGTTAATTAACCATGTTCTAGGCAACGTTCTAGTGACTGAATGACAATAGAAATCTTAAAAAATTTTCTCAAACTTACTTTGTTTTCAATGTATTTGTTAAGTAGCTGATTAAAATGTAATGTATTGACAGCATGTTAAAAAAAAAACAGGTTTTGGTGTCACTAATTTGTATTTTATTTTGTAGGCCAGTTCATGGGTTAATTTTTCTTTTCAAGTGGCAGCCAGGAGAAGAACCAGCAGGCTCTGTAGTTCAGGACTCCAGACTTGACACAATATTTTTTGCAAAGCAGGTATGCTCTTTGGGTACTCTGAAGTCTTGAGAGTTTTATAAACAGAAGTCTGTTTCACTTTTGTGTCTTTGGTGTTGCAGTCCTCAAGCTTTTTTGTCTTAGGACCCCTTTACATTCTTAAAAATTGTTGAGATCTCCAAAGAGCTCTTCTGTTTATATGGATTATATTTATCAATATTTATTATATTAGACATTAAGACTGAGACATTTTGAGAGAATTTTTTTTTAAAGATTTTATTTATTTATTTGACAGAGAGAGAGAAAGAGAGAGATCACAAGTAGGCAGAGAGGGAGGCAGAGAGAGAGAGAGGCAGAAGCAGGCTCCATGCTGAGCAGAGAGCCCAATGTAGGGCTCCTTCCTAGGACTCTGAGATCATGACCTGGGCCAAAGGCAGAGGCTTAACCCACTGAGCCACCCAGGTGCCCCCATTTTGAGAGTATTAATTGATTTTAAAAAAACAGTAAATGCATTACATGTTAAAATAAGTAACGCATTTTTTAGTGAAACATAATCACACTTACCAAACAAAAAAAATTAGCAAGAAGCTTTACATTTACGCTTTACATTGTTTTACATTTTTGCAGATCTAATGTCTGGCTTAATAGCTCACAGTTAGATTCTCCTTTCTGCTTCTTTATTCAGTCTGTTGCAGTATTTTTGTTTTGTTTTGTTTTTGGTTGAAATATATGAAGAAAATTCGATTTCACACATATGTGTAGTTGGAAAGGGAGGAGTATTTTAATGTCTTTTTCAGAGAATTATGGATCTTCTTTGATATCAAAACTCCCAAAATGTTGCTTTCTTAAAGGTTAGTTGCAAGTGACATCTGAAACCATATCATTGAACTTTACTCCTTATTATATTAAAAACTTTGGTTTATCTTGCTGTGCAAATGGATCTTTTACTCGTTCAACATTTGATAACATTGCGTATTGGTCATTTTGAAAGTTCACCTATTTATACAGATCTTCTAAATGTTGACACATTTAATTACATACATTATCAATAAGTCACATGTGTATCATCAGAAAAGTCGTTAAGTATCATGGAACTTTTAAACTAATAGTGGAATATCTTAATCTTACCAAATTCTAATTTTCACTTGAAAGTTCAAATTTTATCAATAAAACCAAATACTGTCAGGGAATTTCCTTCAAGTAACAGGCTCATTACACTCAGTTCAAAGAAAAATACCTGCCGCAAACCTTGTTGAACAATGGTATTTTGTCTGTCATTTGTGTTTTCAAATGAAAAAGATGTTCCAAGATAAAAGCAGCCAACTTAGCTCACAACTCAAAGAGTTGTACTACTGCCTTTTGTTGAAATGATTAGCATATTTTGGTTTGCAGCAGAAGTGCTTTATTTGTGCTACCTATTTCATTTGGTAGACTATTACAGACTTGTACTTCAATGTCAGATTTTAGTAAAAATTTATTGCTTCATTAAAGACAGTCTTCAGTAAATCTGTTTTTTCTTCTTTTTCTTTCTTTTTTTTAAGCTATCTATGTCGATGAAACAGTTTAATGCCACTGTCCAGATTTGGTGCTAAAATACCAGCAGTGTTATCTATTGCTATTCTATATTTCTGTAGATACTACATCTATTGCTATTATACTATCAGTGCAAATGTGAAAGCAGGGTAGAAGTCAAAAACTATCTTTGAATTATTATGGGAACAATTTTTGAGCACATGAACCCCTTGAGAACGATCTTAGGAATTCCCAGGGGTCCATGGACTGCACTTGAGAACTGCTGTTGTAGTATATACAGTGCAGTGGTGAATATTATTATATGCATCCATACATTTGGTCCATTGTTTGGAAAAGCTGAAAAAGAGAATGATGAAAGAGGTTTGATTAATGTTTAAAATCTAAGCTAAATTTGATGACATTGTTTGAAAATTGCACTCATTTCTGAGACTCAAAAAATTGCTTAGGATAATCTGTTTAACCTTTAGAAAGGTTGAAAATAAAACTGCTAAATCTCATTACTGTCCTTTGGATGAAGCCTTTGCCATTCCACTTAGTAACTTGTTTTCCCTTTTCTTCTTACTACTACTTTCCACTTTCCTCCAACTTTTTAAAATTGAGTGTTTTTTGAGAGAAATTATCACTTTCTTCTTTTATTTTAAGGGTTAAGAGAATATTATCGTGTATTTTTTTTCTGATAGCAGAAATTCAAGTACAGAAATATATAGTGATAAGAATGACTATCTTTGTAATCCCACACCCTTCTCTACTAACCACTTTTAATGGTTTGACTCATTCATTTAATCAACAAGTAGTTTTGAGCACCCACTTTGTGCTAGGCATTGTTTTTTAGGTACTAGAGGTAGAATGGTGAATAAGACAGGCATATCTCTTAATTTCAACAATAATGAAAACAATATAGCAGTAGCCAACATTTACCATTCTTATTGTGTATCAGATACTGTGCTTTAGATATATTATTTATTTAATCCTTGCAACAACTCTGTGAGGTTGTTACCCTAATATTACAGATGAAGAAATTGAGATCTGGAAAAATTAACTTATTTTTCAGAGGTCACACAGAATTTAAACCCAGGTCTAAAACCTACTTCTGTGATTCTACATGCCATAATGTCTCCTACATTGTCTTTTTATATGCTAACATATTCTCATTATAATTTTCTTACTAAAGTTGGATTGTTATGCAAAATATTTTGCATCTTTTTTCACTTAATGGTAAAAGTTTGACTTTGCTCTATTTCCATACACATAACAGTATTAACTAACATTTTCTATAGGTTTATTAGGTACTTCCATATGTATTATTTTTATGTATTAATTTATTTGTAGTAGCCAATACTCACAACAGCACTATGTGGTTTTATACATTCCTTATTATTTCACAGATGTGGAAACTGAATCACAGAGAGGTTATGAAACTTGCCCAAGTTATGCAGCTAGTCATTGGCAAAGCTGGGGTGCAAACTCAGGCACTGTAGCTCTGAAGTTTATGCTCTCAACCACATCACAACATAGTCTCTTTTAAAAGACAGTGTCCTATAATTTATTGGTGTAAGTGTCCTACAATTTATTTAACTAATCTCTTAATGATCAACATTTTGAGTTTCTGTTTATTTCTCTAACACAAGTAATTTATGTATTATAATACTTGTACTTATTATGTATTATTGTACAACAGTAATTCTTTTTTTTTAAGATTTATTTATTTATTTATTTGACAGAGAAATCACAAGTAGGCAGAAGTAGGCAGAGCAGCAGGCAGAGAGAGAGGGAGAAGCAGGCTCCCCGCTGAGCAGAGAGCCTGATGTGGGGCTCGATCCCAGGACCCTGAGATCATGACCTGAGCTGAAGGCAGAGCCTTAACCCACTGAGCCACCCAGGTGCCCCTACAACAATAATTCTAATTTCAAAACTGCAGGCTGTGATTTTCAGGATCTAGATAGTAGAGAAAAAGTAGGAGACAGATAATTTTTTTAAAAAAGATTGTATTTATTTATTTGACAGAGCTTACAAGTAGGCAGTGAGGCAGACAGAGAGAGAGAGAAGCAGGCTCCCTGCTGAGCAGAGAGCCCCACATGGGGCTTGATCCCAGGACCCTGAGATCATGACCTGATCCAAAGGCAGACGCTTAACCCACTGAGCCACCCAGGCAGCCCAGAGACAGATAATTTTGAAAGTCCTTCAGGTGTTTTTCTCCTTGTAAAGGAAGATTTTTTATATTTTAAGGTATATAAATATATATGCTCATTTTACAAAATTTAAGCATTATAACTGTATGATGTAGGAAATAAAAGTCCCTTATAATCCCTGCTTCAGAGATAACCACAGAAATTATTTATATTCTTGAACATTTTCTCTGTGTGTATGTGTGCATTTAATTTCTTCCACACTGTATGTCTTTCACACTAATTTGTGAACCTGGGAGTCTGGGGTTTTGTTTTTATGTACAGTCCCTAGCACATAGTAGATATCCAATAAATGCAGACTGAGATCTTCATCTCTAAGAATATTACAGTTAACACTAGTATTAACTAACACTATGACATTAATGATTTATAGAGGTCTAAGTATTTTTAAGGTAAAAGAAAGTACTCTAAAGAAAAATGTTCTAGGGTTTGAATTTGTAATATTTTTCTAGATCTGTATTTCTGTCTTAACTATAATTTAATGTTTTATTTGTATTATATTATTCCTGCCATATTTATTAATGTCGAGGATTTGTGATTTTCCAATAATACTGGGTGTTTTTTGCACTATGTTATCTCAACAGTTCATATTGAACTAAATCAGTATTTCCCAATAATATCTTTTAGTCTTTTTAGTGTATGCCTCCTTTGAGCCTATGCCAGAAACTTTGTATTACATAAATATATAATCCTTAATTCTAGGCTTCAATAAATTCAATAATGATTTTATCCAGAAAATTTAAAAAATTTTTAAAAATGTAAAAATTTAAAAATTTTTTATTCAGAAAATTTAAAAATGTAATTAAAATTATATTTAAATAAAATATTTATATACTTATATAATTAAAATATATTATATATTTATAATTTAATGTGATTAAATTATATATTTATGATAAGGTTATACATATTAACTAAGTATATATTTTTGGTATTTATGGGTGGAATTATATCAGTTTAGAGAGGTAATAGTAATACTGGCTGTCTTAAGCTGATCATACACTCTAATTGTGGAACTGCATGTACGTGGATCACTGATTAAGAAGTACTGAGAAAAGAATCTAGTAATTTGTGTGTAAGAAATGACATTTGGGGGGTGTCTGGGTGGCCCTGTTGGTTAAGCGATTGCCTTTGGCTTGGGTCATGATCCCAGAGTCCTGGGACCAGCCCTGCATCAGGCTCCCTGCTCAGTGGGGAGCCTGCTTCTCCCTCTCCCTCTGCTGCTCTGCCTGCTTGTGTCTCTCGCGCTGTCAAATAAATAAATAAAATCTTAAAAAAAAATGACATTTGGTAGTACTTCGCTGCTAAATGTCATTGTCTTGT